AGGGGCTACGCATGGGGGCCCCTGGAATGTGAGTCTATTGTCCCGGAGCAAACAGTTCCTGGACTAGGACAGGAGAATGGGACAGGAGTTGATCTATGAGTTCGGGGCAAACAGTTCCTGAAAGAGGGTGGGAGTCTAGGTTGGGTAAGCGAGGTAACGGCTGAGCAGTTTGTCTGGCGCCAGTTCCCAGGCTATCGGACAGGTACAAACCTCCCCGTCATGATCACAAAGGCCCAAAACAGTCCAAAATGTGGACTCTCCTGAAAACCTCGTGTTCGTTTCAAGGTGGATTTCTGCAGCTAAGGAGATGCCCCAGCTTTAGGTTTTTGCAGGAAACACCTTTCTAGAGAAAATCCCAAGTCACCGTGGATTATCTGCACACACACATCGGCACCTTCGGGAGACTGTCGGAGAAAAGTCTGCAAGGAGCAGCTTGACGAACAGAGTAAGCAAGACCGTTTTCAGAAATGTAGACGCTCCGCTCTGGACACGCACCCGCCGGCCCTTCCCAAGAGCAGGGGCTGCTCATGCTCGAACAGGTGGACAGTCACATGGAACCTCCACGTGGGTGTTACCGTCTGGCCCGTCTTGGTGGCAGCCGGAGACAAAGGGAGCAGCCCAGAATGGCAGCTGAAAGAGGGGCCGAGCACTAACCAGTCCACACTCTCAGTTCACCTTTCTTCTGGCTCTGTTCAGATTCAGAAATTTCTAGACTCCTCGGGGCCTTCTGCCAAAAGTTCATAGGTTCCCTGGTGGTCTCCTCCTCCTCCTCCTCCTCCTCCTCCTCCTCCTCCTCCCCCCAACCTATTTCAGACAAGGAAGCTGCTGACCGAGTCATGATTTAGGAAGAGTGTTGAAAGTGTTTACCCAGAGGCCTGGCAGGTGTGGCTCAGTGGTCGAGCATCGACCTATGCACTGAGGTCGCCGGTTCAATTCCTGTTCAGAGCACATGCCCAGGCTGTGGGCCCGATCCCCAGTGGGGAGCATGCAGGAGGTGGCCAATCGATGTTCTCTCTCATTGATGTTTCTGTCTCTCTCCCTCTCCCTTTGTCTCTCTCTAAAATCAATAAAGAAAAAAAATTAAAAAAAAAATTTTTACCCAGAAAGTGGCTTCCATGGCCTCAGGCTTCTCCCCTTTCCTGCCCTCACCTTGCTCCAGGGCAGCCTCGTGTCCTGCTTGTCATCACCCCTGGCATCGTGGTGCCAGGCCCCAGCATCACCAGTGCATCTCCACATGACCCCAGGCACATGAGCCTGCAGGGGTCACTGCACAGCCCTCTCGATTGCCAAGGGTTTTCCGTGGGTCATGCTCCCGTCTGCAGGTCGGTCTTCCCCAGGAATGTGTTGCTGCTTCACTTTCCCTAACTTTGCACCGGAAAGTGAGCTGCCCAAGTCCTGGGGCTTCAACAGGGCAACACAGGAGGCTGCCCTGGAGCAAGAGGGAGGGAAAGGGGAGGAGCCTGAGGCTGGTTTAAATGGTGCCTGGCATCTAATCATACCTGGCATCTAACAGGTGCCTAATAAGTGTTTGGCTCATTGAACTGACTTGAACTAAGACCTGTACCTTCCACAGAGTTGCTCTGTCTGGCATTCTGGCCCCTCCAAAGAGGAACACTTTCTCCCCCAAGGTTGGACGGGCTCCAGAGGGCCAGCCCTTCCACCGCACTGTGGCCGTTCCAGGTTGCGGCCAAGGGCGTGGAGAGCCTCTGCTTTCCTGGTAGCTGTTCAGCGGGCCAGGTTCTGCACAGGTGCGCCTCCACGCCCACAGGACAAAGTGCAGCCCCAGTGACGATGACATGTCTGAGTGCCTCCCAGCTGCGGCTGTCTGTCCGTGCATGCCACACACGAGCTCACGGAACCTCAGCGATTCTGGAATTATATTCTTCTTCTCATTGCACAGATTAAAACGCAAAATCACGAGGTGCGAGGGCATTCAATCGGTTGCTCGAAATTCCTTAATGCGACGGAACAGTGATTGAAACCCAGCTCTGCCTCACACTAAATTCAAGTGACCTGACCCTTCTGTCTCTGAGAATCTGCTCAGCGTTTCAGTCCGACAACCTGGAGCAGTGGTCCCCGAACGTTCCCACCTCCGGACCCCGCTACACAAAGTGACCGAGGACCCAGAAGAGCTTCTGTTTACATAGGTCATGCACTCAGAATGAAAAGCAAGACATTTTTAAAGGATTTATTTATTTATTCAAAACAATAAAGTATCCCTTTGCACGTTACCATATGTTTATGAAAAATAATTTTATTTTCCAGAACAAAACACCTTACGAAAAGAATGGCATTGTGTTACGTCCTTGCAGATCTCACTAATATCCCTCACAGAAGGCAGCTGGATTCTCGTAGCTCCTGTTCCTCTCGCATTCAGCCTGTTGGCAAAAACCTGGCCTCACAGCGTCCATAGCTGGGGCAGTAAGAAGCATCTTAACACCCTTTCACTTAGCTATGGATCTTCTTTTTTGATGTTATACTAAAACGCACCAAGTAGTAGTTTCTTTTAAGATTAGTTGCACTGTAGAATAGAAAAAAACAAAACAAAAGGACTTTTCTAACTGCTGTGTAAAAATTTATTGGTCTATCCAGCACGTTGATTGGGTCTTTGGCCCTGGCATGACTTTGTACCTTTATAAATCTGTCATCTGCAGACGTGTTTCACTGAGCCGTGCAGACTTCTCGGTACACGGCGGAAGAGTCCCTTGCACAGTCCTGAGAGGGTGAGGGGAAAGGCAACCGATGCCATCGTATTTGTTTTGCTATCATAGTGATCAGTTTTGAACTCGCCAACTCCCCAAAGGGTCTCATGGACTCCCCGGGTCCCAGACCACACTTTGAGGACTACTGGTCTGTGGTATAAGTTGAATGGTCCCTGAATGCAAAGTCCTGTGGGAAGTTATAAAAGAAAGAAAAAAATTAAGGCCGATAATCTTAACATGAAAATGAAAACATAAGTATGTTCAATTTAATATGTGAAACTAAGGAAAGACAAATGAAGATATAAGTGCACAGGCATTACAAAACAGTAAAAACCACTCTAGGTCTGTGTGTGTGTGTGTGTGTGTGTGTGTGTGTGTGTGTGTGTGTGTGTGTGTTGTCTACCTTTGACTGACCTAGGCAGCTAGCTACGTATGACCCAACCCCACCCCTGCCATGGCTCTGGACACTGATAGGTTGCTGGAGAGTTTGGGATGACCAGAGGCCCGTGGAGACAGTGGGAGAGGGTGGCAGAGAGGAGGAGAGGCTTGGTGGGGGCACCTTGAACAAAGGGTATGAGTTAGTGGGGAAGTTCATCCAGGTTGAGATGGGACCACAGCTGTCCCCTCCACGTCTGCTGAGGAATGCTGACAGCCTAGAACGGGCAGCCAGGCCCAGCTGGGAGCAGGCTTTGGAGGCCACTCCGGGGCTGGCATGGCACCTGGTCTGAGCAGCTGCACTGGCTGGACTGAGCTGTGAGTGTGCTTCTGGGGCCCAGGGACTTGCGAGGGCTCACACACCTGTTCTGCTCTACCACTTTTATGTATTTAGTGCTTTCTCTTGTTGATAACATACTTTATTGAGGTATAATTTATATGCAATAAAATACACAAATCCTAGATGTATATAGCTCTATAATGTCTTGCATACAATGTTTGTGCCCAGGTAAAGATAAAGAACTTCTCATCACACCAGTAGGTTTTACCATACTCCTTCCCACTGAACACCTTTCCGCCCACTACGCTCAGAGGAAACTACTGTTCTATCCGCTGTTACCATACATTAGTTTTATTGGTTCTTGAACTTCATTTATTGGGGGTAAAACACAAGTAGGTGGAGACTAAACAATATGCTACTAAACAACCAATGGATCAAAGAGGAAATCAAACGAGAAATCAAAATACCTTGGGACGAGTGAAAATGAAAACACAACTTTCCAAAATTAATGGATGGGATGCAGCAAAAACCTTTCTAAGAGGGACGGTCACAGCCTTACAGGCCTACCTTGAGAAAAAAGAAAATCTCAAACATCTAACTTTACACCTGAAGGAACTAGTAATAGAGGAACCAATCAGCAAAGTCAGTAGAAGAAAGGAAATAACAAAGGTCAGAGTGGAAAATAAATAAAATAGAGACTAAAAGAGGAACAGAAAAGATCGATGAAACTAAGAGCTGGTTCTTCGACGGGATAAACACAACTGACAGACCTCGAGCCAGACGTCAGGGAAAAGGGAGCCCAAATGAAGGAAATCGGAAATGAAAGCGGAGAGATGTCAACCGCCACCGCAGAAATACAGAGGATCATCAAAGAACACCGCGGACGATGATACGCCGACACACTGGACAACAGAGAAGAAATGGAAAATTTCCGGAAACGTACAACCTTCTGAGACTGGCCAGGAAGAAAATCTCATCAGACTGATTACAAGCAATGAAACTGAGGCAGTGATCAAAAACCTACCAACAAACAGAAGCCCCGGACCAGAGGGCTTCGAGGGTGATTTTTACCCAAAATTCAAAGAATTAATACCTACCCTTCTCAAAGTAGTCCCCAAAATTGAAGAACAGCAATGCCTTCTTCAAACACCTGCCTGCCCCCACCCTGGCACCCCCTGGCCTCCGTGTGAACAAGAGGACCTGCAGAGCGGGCACTGAGCTTGGGGCCCGCGGCTCTCTCACCACCGACCTCCCCAGCACCCGGCTCCCCCCCCCCCCACACACACACACTCTGAAGAAGGAAGCAGTAGGCAGTGCCCCGCCTGTGACAAAGCAGGGGGCAGAAGGCTGATCAGGGCGAAGCAAAGAGCCCAGGGCCAGAAGGCTCAAGTCTTGCTTATCTTTGCAGGCATTTCCCCTGGGGAGACATTAAGTTGGGGCCTGGGGCGACTAACCGGTGAGGAAAGGGTGTGTCCTCCCTTCAGGACAAAGCCCCAGTCCCTGGGCGAAGAGCGGGGTCCTCAGGGGCTGCGGACGGGAGCCAGTGGGCTCGCCCGGCGCCCCAGCGCCCCCGCCCGCAGCCGGCGCCCTTCCCGGGTCGGGTCGTCCGCACCTGCCGGGCCGCAGTCTGCCTTTGGCCCGACCTCCGGCGCCTGCCCTAGGGCGTGTTGCCTAGTCCTCCGCCCCGCGCTGGTAGGAAGTCCCCGTCACTGCTGCCTAAGGCCAGGAGGGCGGGAGCAGCACCTGGAAGATGCAAGTGAAGGGTACAGGTGAGTGCGACCCCCACAGCCAAAGGAGGAAACGGGGAACCGGGGCCCCCTCGCAACTTCAGCGACCAACCAGCTGAGCCCGAGGATGGGGCTGGCGCGTGGCCGGGTCTCCTCTCCCAGCTGGGAACAGGAAAGCCGGCAGCCAGTCCAGCGGAGGCGACTAGGCTGGGGGTTCGGAGCAGGTAGCCCTGCAGCGTTTCCTGGGGTCCCCGCGCCTGCCCCACTCGCCCAGCTGGGATTCATGGCAGGGCATCCGTGAGTGTGATTTGGGTGAGCACGGGCAGGGCGCTCCAGGAGCTGGGGTGGGGTGGGTACCTCCAAGGAGAGAGGTGCCTGCAGGGGGGCCCGGACCTCCAGCAGGGGGCTGCCAACTGCGGGTTAGACCTCACCTGAGGGCTCCTCGGCTGAGTCGGGAGTCATTAGCTCCCCCTCCAGTGAGGGGACAGAGAAGCGGAATGCCCACTGTCCTGCTCTGACTGTTCCCCCGTCTTTTTGTAGGGCTGCTTTCACTTTTCACTTATCAAAGTCCTGGAGACAGAGGGATGTTGGGGGGAAGGGAAAGAGGAAGGAAAGACGCAATTATTCCATCAGTTATTTTCTCTCTCAAAGCCTATCTTTCAGACTGTGGCCTCTGTCCTTTGTCCCACGCCTGCGTGTGGCTGCAGGTGTTCTGGAGGTCAGGTGTGACGGTCCTCAGCCACACCTGCCCTTCCTGATTGATTTCGCTGTTTTCTTTCTGTACTCCAAGGAGTCCAATTCCTCCTGAACCAAGGCAGCGTATGCTGTTCGAGAGTGGAAAGTTCTCTTGGCCTCTGTAGAGGTCATTTCCCTGACTGGATATCGGGTCATTAGCCTTGAGGTGTTTGTTAGACTTCCAGCCGTGTGGTCTGGCCATGTGGGCACAGTTCAGAAAGTTCTCAACACCGCCTTTCTGCTGCACTCCCAAAGTGCAGGAAAGCCAAATTTTAGGATTTTTTTAAATTGATCGTGTGAAATAGCCATGTTTGCTACAAAGCCATTTATTTATGAACCGTTTTTGGTAACTTGTTGGATTGTAGGCTACACGGGTAGAGATAGATATGTAAATTTCATAACTATATCGGAAGAATTTTTCATTATTTCTGTATTACATACATATAATGTCATGTTGCTGGTTGCTTAGTAGGAAATGCTGAATGTTGTCAGATTGCTTTCCCACCCACAACTCTTACCCCAGCCTTAGGATGTGTTCATGAACTGCGACGTTCCTCCACGAGAGCGCGGCTGCAGCACCCAGTTTGTATCGTCTGGGTGTGTGAGGTTGGGAGGATATCACCTGCAGACATCCAGAGCCGTGTCGCCTTTGTTTTTATGAGCTGAGGTTTGGCAAAGTTCCTGGGAGCAGCATTTCAGTGAAGCACCCGGTCTAGCCCAGGTAGACAGCGCTCGGGGAAGACGTTCTGCTTCAATGGGTGAAGTCAAGCAGCCAGCGCCCTTCCCCTGACACACAGTCATCCTCCTTTCTTAAGAGTAGGGTGTTTGTGTGAGCATTGTAGGTGGGTTCCCTTGTAGACCTGCTGTGGTGTTCGGGTGTGACATTTCCCAGCCCTTCTGCCACAAAGCCTCCATCAATAGGACAGTGACGACAAACCTGGCCAGTTACAGTGATGGCCCAAGGAGTCTTGGGTTTGATTTCCGGTCAAGGGCACCTACTGGGCTGCAGGTTTGATCCCCGGCCCCAGTAGGGGTCATGCAGGAGGCAACCAGTCAGTGTGTCTCTCTCACATTGATGTTTCTCTCTCTGTCTCTCTCTCCCTCCCTTACTCTTTATCTAAAAATCAATTTAAAAATATCTTCAGGTGAGGCGTAACAAAAAAAGGAGGGGAGCGGTGATGAGGGGATTGTGACAACAATGTTCACAAAGCAGCTGAGTCCCAAATATGGTTCATTACCCCTCAGCCCTCCTAGCCCTTCCAAGACAAGAGGTACAGGTGTGGCCACCTCTGGGGTGAGGGCATCCAGGGTGTGTCGGCCACGCTGCAGCGCCAGCTTCCTCGTTCCACCTGTCCCATTCCTGCCCACCAGTGCCAGGACCTTCAGAAGGGCTCTTGGCACGGCCCCTGGACAGATGGCTGTAGGCATCCTGACAGCCCCCTACTGGAGTTGGTTTGAGGATTGCTTTCTTCTCCAGTGTTAGTGTCCAGGGCCAGCCTGAGACCCCTGAGAACCTGCAGGTGGGATGAGGGTGGGACACAGGCGCACAGGTGCACACACACGCAAGCCCACACGGGCCTGCGCACATGCACGCTTGCGTACTAATTGAGCGTCTCAAGGAGGAAGTGCACTGACTTCCTGCCGGTGCTCAGAAGTGGCCTTTGCTCTGAGGTGGACGCACGTGGGGGACGCATCTGGGAACCGACGGTGACCTTATCACAGTACGAGGAAAGATCGGATCAAGATTGGAGAATCACAGAAGGTTCCTGGACTTTGTGTACTTCATCCCCCCTGCCCCACTTCTGAGGCTGCTCCCCCCGGGCAGGCCCATCTGGGGCCATCTTATCTGAGTCCTGGACTTCCGCCTTTCCCGAGATGAATCTTTACCTGTGCCCACCGGGCGCTGGGTTCTCCTCTGCCGCCCAGCGTCCTGCCTGCTTTGCAATCGCCTGCAGGAGCTGAGCTGGGGCTGCTGGCCAGCCCTCAGACAGGCTCTCCGGGACTGCCTGCCTGCTCCTTGTCCCTCGCCACGTGGCTCCTCGGCCTGCGGCCTCCTGGAGGCGTCTGTAGCTTGTGTCAGAGCCGTGCATGGCTCACCACCAGCCAGCGCCCCATCCTTGATGCCGGGCCTGCCCCCCACCCGGGTGGCTCTGGCTCCAGGTCTCAGCTTCTCCCGGCCACCACAGGATACCAGGCTGTCCCCAGCCGGAAGGTCCTCAGTGGCACCCCTTGCCCAGCCCACAGATACCTTGCAGCCTCCCCAGGAGCCCTGAGAAGTACGCAGAGACGGGGGTTCATCACCCGGCCGGCAGGCCAGCTGGTCTGCGGTTCCACCGTGAGGGTCCGCGGGCTCCTTATGCATTTCTTTCCTCCCCTGTCACTTCCATGTATTTGTCCTCGTTCAGCTGGTGGCAGAGCCGTGTGTTCCTTCCGTGTGGCTGTCCTATACGCTCTTGAAAGGTAGCATCGTGTTCCTTTTCAGTCTTCTCCAAGCCAAACAGCAGCTCTGCTCAAAGATCCCGTGTGACGCAGCGACGAGAAGATCCATGACAGGCTCTGGTGTGCCAATTCCTCAAATGTGACACGTGGAGGAAATAGCCCAGCTGTGACCTGACTCTCACGGGACACAGTGGACTGTTGTGTTCGCTGAACCTAGCGCGGTTGATGCTGACTCGGCGTCCGGAGGCTGCCCCTCTCGGACCCCCGGGGTGCACCCGTAGCGCTTTCTGGAACATTAGCGGCCCACGCACTGTCCTAGGGGTGTGCACACGGTCCTGGAGGGGGTGTCGTGCCACAGAGGCGTGCGAAGGCTGCCATGAGGTGCCTGTGCAGGCCTCCGAGGTGGGGCTGCCTGGCACACTGCGGGGGCCTTGAAGAGGAGGAGGGCACTGGGGGTCTGTGTGGGCGAGGGCCCTCAGGCAGAGGGACCGGCTCCTGCAGAGCTGTATGGCAGGAGAAGGTCCTCCATACCCGGGGCTCTCCTTGGTCTTCTGTGGCTGCTTCCCCAGCGTTGAGATGCTCCTTGCATCCTAGAAGCGACAGTGGCCATGCTGCCCGGGTAGTTCGCACCAGGAAGCCCTGCCTGCATGACGTCCTAACAACCCCGGGCACTGTGTGGTTTGGAAGAGAGAGAATGATCGATGCTGAATCGTGCACTCGGAAAAAGACCAGATCGTCAAGGGGAAATAGAAGCGCCCCGTTCCATGAGTGTCGCTACCCAAGTTAACGAGCCGCACGAGTACCACAGACTCAGCACACACAGCGGTGGAGGGGACCGCAGACAGCTGCACACACAGCGGTGGAGGGGACCGCAGACAGCTGCACACACAGCGGTGGAGGGGACCGCAGACAGCTGCACACACAGCGGTGGAGGGGACCGCAGACAGCTGCACACACAGCGGTGGAGGGGACCGCAGACAGCTGCACACACAGCGGTGGAGGGGACGCAGACAGCTGCACACACAGCGGTGGAGGGGACGCAGACAGCTGCACACACAGCGGTGGAGGGGACCGCAGACAGCTGCACACACAGCGGTGGAGGGGACGCAGACAGCTGCACACACAGCGGTGGAGGGGACGCAGACAGCTGCACTCACAGCGGTGGAGGGGACGCAGACAGCTGCACTCACAGCGGTGGAGGGGACGCAGACAGCTGCACTCACAGCGGTGGAGGGGACCGCAGACAGCTGCACACACAGCGGTGGAGGGGACGCAGACAGCTGCACACACAGCGGTGGAGGGGACCGCAGACAGCTGCACACACAGCGGTGGAGGGGACGCAGACAGCTGCACTCACAGCGGTGGAGGGGACGCAGACAGCTGCACTCACAGCGGTGGAGGGGACGCAGACAGCTGCACACACAGCGGTGGAGGGGACGCAGACAGCTGCACACACAGCGGTGGAGGGGACCGCAGACAGCTGCACACACAGCGGTGGAGGGGACGCAGACAGCGGCACACACAGCGGTGGAGGGGACGCAGACAGCGGCGCTTGCGGGACAGGGAGACCTGCAGGTGCAGGGAACGACGGGGGCTGAGGTCCAGGGCGGAGCTCGGCCAGAGTGCCGGACACGGGTCTGTGTGTTTCACAGCCCGGAGAGGAGGAAGCCTGGGGTTGTGCGCTGGAGGGTTGGAGTCCTGCCTCTTTGTCAGTGACTGTGAACTGGGAAAACAGGGTCTGGGAGAACCACGCACCTGTCCCTGCTCAGGGTGCTGCGGGGAGAGACACCAACCCTCTGATGGCGACCGAGTGTCCCACAATTCAGGTCAGTTCTGACCCTGACCACCCGCAGTTAGTGTCGACCCTGCAGCGTAAGAGGGAGGCCCCACCAGCTGCCCTCTCTTCAGCCGCCAGCCACAAGCCTGGGGCTGCCCGCTCACCGCCGACCAGCAGTGCACTTGGAAGTGTCCTCTACCCCTTTAGACTCCATAATTCACTAGAACAGCTGGCGGAACTGGCCGACGGAGTCCAGCTGGGCTGGGGCAGGACCGGTGAATGGAGAGCTGACGCCTAACCCCATCCATCCACCGAGACGGGGAACATGGGCCCAGGTCTGGCGTGGCGGCTCACAAGGCCGCTCGATAAACTGATGATGGACATTAGCATTCGAGGAAGTTCTAAGACCCAAGCCAGCAGCACACGTAGAAGTGTGGCGTTGAAAACATTCCTGTCTTCTTTGTGTTATCTGCTTCTGTCTACTTCAAACGCTGGTCCCAGCAAAGCCAACTCAGTGGTCATGGTATCGAGGTTCATTACCTGCCCCGCCTCCTGGGAGTAGGTTCTCTCCAGAGCAGCCTGCAGGAATGGCGGGGGGGCAGAGCCGGGGCTGGGCTGCCCGAGGGTGCCTGCCCTGGCCTCCAGGTCCCATCTTGTCGGCCCCCAGGCATCCTGAGAGCAGCACTCTTCATCTCTGCCTCCACGTGCGCCTGGTACTTCGGGTACCTGGTGGCAGAGCTCATTCCGGACGGCCCCCTGGCTACCGCTGTCTACAACATTCGGAGCATCGGCGAGAAGCCCGTCCTCAGAGGTCAGTACCATGGGCCCCAGCAGACGGATACATGCAGCTTGGCTCGGGGCCGGGCAGTGGGTTCTGGCCATTTTACGTGGATGATGCTGATGCCGAGGAGGACGTACTGTCGGACAGCAGGCATTCCAGAAGGGCTCGTTGACTTGGTTTCTGAATCTCCCCATCACGTGACGAGGATGTCAGTTCGATGGCCAGCCATGGGCAGTGATTCCCAACTCTTAAAACACCCCCCCCCCTTTTATACATTTGTTATTTCAAGACAAAAGCGGATTGAAGTAGCTTCGTGTCTTTAGGGAAATTGCTGAAGCTCCTAATGAAAATGGTTGACCCCTTCCCCACTCATGACCTTGGACCGTGCGGGTGTGAAGTCCTGGGGCAGGACAGCTGCGTTCATGGTCAAGCAGTGGGCTCATCTGGTAAACCCTCACGTGACCTGTTATGTTCTTGTTCATTACAGCCCCAGCCCCCAAAAGGCACAAGTATGACCACTGTCCCCCGAACACCTATGCCTACTGGCTGCTCAGCGGCGGGAGCAAGAACAAGTACGCCAAGATCTACTTTGAGAATGAGCTGTAAGTAGCAGCGTGCAAAGGAAGCAGAGCTAGCCCGCCGGGTCCCTTCCTCGCCGAGGCTGGCCCGGCAGCCAGTCTGCCCCCAGGAGAGAAGGCACGTCTCTGACCTCAGGCACAGGCTGCAGCGTCCGGGAGCTGAGGGTGCCACCTGCGCTCCCTGGGGAGGATGTGGAAGGAGGATGTGTCCCCATGTTGAATTCTCTTTTAACAGCAGGTGAAACAAGCCTTCGTTTCTATTTCACACCCTTTGAATACATGTCATGGTCCTTCCAGGTCCGGGGAACATGACACACAGGTTTTCTTCCATTTTAATCCTCACGGATTAAAGCAGGTGTGTGGTTTTTCTTTCCAGCCCATGCCTCCTCATCGCAGGTCTGTGTGGCACCCTTCCCCATGAGGGCCCAGACAGTCCTGCACCGGAACTGTCCCAGCCTCGTGCCCTCCTGCGCTGGGGCCGCCACAGCCCAGTGCACAGACCGGGCTGTTCTCTCCCTGTCTGGAGCTGGGTGTCCAAGATCGAGGTGTGGAAGGGTTGGTTCCTTCTGAGGCCGGAGGGAGAATCTGCTCCAGCCTCTGTCCTTGGCTGGGAGGTGCTTATCTTTTCCCTGTGTCTTTGCATCATCTCCCTCTCTGTGTCTATCTGTGTCCAAATTTCCCCTTTTAAAAAGGACACGATTCATATTGGTGTAGTGATGTGGGGTGATCTCTGTTACCCTGCAGGCAGCCAGGTTGCCCTCACGGCTGGCACAGCTATCACATGGCATCCACTCCACCATCATCCTGGGGATGACCCTCGCCTCCCTCTCCGGAGTTGCAGCCCCTATTTCGAGGACACAAATCTTCCACTTTCTCAGTTTCCTCCCTTGTTTTGCTGGAGCACATCCTCTAGTAACATCCCGAGAAAAGGGTAGAAGGAGAAGTAAAATTTTTAGATTGTTCATGCTTAAAATATGTTCATTCCGTCTGGCCTGTGTGGCTCAGTGGTTGAGCATCGACCCCTGCACCAAGAGGTCGCCAGTTCGATTCCCAGTCAGGACACATGCCCAGGTTGTGGGCCCGATCCCCAGCGGGAGCGTGCAGGAGGCGGCCAATCGATGTTCTGTCTCATCGATGCTTCTCCCTCTGTAATATCAAGGGAAAAAAAATTAAAATAAAATAAAATATGTTCCTTCCCCCTCACAATTAATTGATAGTTTGGCTTAGTATATATTTCTACATTAGAAAGAATTTCTACTTCAGATTTTAAGGTCATTGCTCGGGTCCTACTCACCCTCCCACCAGCAATGTCCAAGCGCGGTAACCAGCCGTGAGAATGCGCTTCTCGTCCAGCGGCAGGGAGTTCATCGCCCAGAGGCACCGCTGCTCGTTCGGAAAGTTATAGTATGTTCCCTTGCGGCCATGCTTCCATGGGCTGCTCTGAGCTCATGACTGAGCACTGTTAACGATCGAAGTATTCATGACACTTGCTGATGATGGTGGGGCAGACTTTACTCAAGGTGGGCCATGGCGATCACCGTGGGGACCTCTGCAGTGGAGGGAGGATTGGACTAACTCTGAGTACAGCGTGGGAAAGTGGGAATTATAGCCAAGGTGAGGCCAGTGAATGGAACACTTCCGAAAGGAAACATCAGGAGTCGGGGGATCCTGGCTAAACCGACCTACCGGGATCCTTGCTGAAGGTAGGCTGGGGTGATCGGACAGCATCTGAGGGTGGGGGATGGAGGATGAGAACCCAATCAGAGATGGAAGGTGATCGGATATCAAACATGGGGGGCTCTAGTTGAACGGACTTAGCAGAATTCTTGCTGAAACTGGACAATGCAGAGAGAAACACTGTAGCCCAAAGTTAGACCTCATTGAGAAAGAGCTCCGGGGAGCCTGAGTAGAACGTGGTGAAGGAGGGAATCTGCCAGCACAGAGGGGTACCAGACAGGTCTGGGCCTGCAGACAGACTCCAGGGTGCCCCAGTGACCTTGCGGAACCCTAGTGAGACTGCATGGTGGCCTGGTCCACCCAAGCTTTTTCCCTCTTTCCTGCACGTTAGGTCAGACTCGCAGCGGGTCTGGCAGCTCTCCCCACCTCTCACAGAGGCACTTTCCCTAAGAGGAGGGACTCCCTGTGCCTTTAATCCTGCTCTGCTCTCTGCTTCTCAGAGGACTCAGATTAGCGTGGTGAGAAGGACTGATTCCCCACCCTCCGTCCAACACAACATGCTGGCAGATGTGTGGATCGCTGCCGTTGTGCGAGATGAACCTTGGTTTCAGGGCAGGTGTTTACTTCACTATTGCTCTTGCAATGGGTGGATTAGAGGATCCCTTTAAACTGAGAGTCTTTGTGTTTCTTTTCTATGAACTGTCTTTGCATATCCCTTGCCCATGTTTATTTCTATCATTGGCCATCTTTATTGATTTATAAGGCTCTTTATATATATTAAGGTAGTTAGCCCTTTTATGCTGTAAAAATTCTCTCCATATTTTGTTGTTTCATTTATTAAAATAGTATTTTTCAATATGCTTATGCCTTAGTTAATATATGACCTTTAACAAAGCAAAGAAACTGTAACCATATAGTGAAAGCAAACATTTTAAAGGCAACAAAAAACCAACAACAAAAACCAATATGATGGTTTCACAAACAAGTATATCTCACACAATAGTTGGTGGTCTGAAAACTGCCAATTAAAGGTAAACAACTCTTACATTGGCTTACAGCACGTAACCCCCAAATTCTGCTACAAGTAAGAACACACACAAGAATTGCGGTCACTGGGCAAACCACCACCCTGAAACTAGAAAGACAGGCAGAGTCATAAAATCAGAGCTTACCTGAAGCAGAAACCTCAGCTGAAAAATTACGCTCAGAGACTCTTCCCTGTGCCTTCCTCTTCGTTCTCATTTCCCACTGCTCCCATCCCCATTATGATTTTCTTTAGTTTCGGATTTCTCTTTCTGTTAAAAGTAAACAAATTGTCTATGTATAATTAATATATCCCCATGTTTGTGTCTTAAATTTGTATATGTATGTGTATATGTGTGAGTATACCTATGTATGTAGCAAAATCTGTGCACAGTTTTGCACTTTTTCACTTAACAGTGTAATAGAGACCACCCCCTATCAGTCCACAGAGACTGTCTTCATTCCTTTTCACGGGTACATAATGTTCCATACATGGATGTATCAGTGTTTATTCAATCAGTTCTACACTGATAGATGCTTTCAGTGTTTGAATTCTTTTGATATTACAAATAATACTGCAATTAATAACCTTGTGAATATGTTGTTTTGTAATGAATTAGAATGAAGTGAACACTTCCACAATCGCCATGCAGGCTAGAAACAGACTATCAATGTCTGTTCGACATTGATACCCCTTCCGAAATGCAGCCCCCTTTACTTACTGCCCTGGTTAACCTCTATTCTGTCTTTTACAGTGATCATTTTCTTGTTTTTCTTGATAGTTTTACAGCAAAAGCATGCATTGTAAAACACTGTTGTTTAATTTTATCTATTTTGAACTTTATATAAATGTAATCATAAACCTTATACTCTTTTATGTCTTACTTCTTTACTCAAAATTGTATTTTTGAGAATTATCCCTGATGTTGGATAAAGCTATTGTTCATTGATTTACACTGGTGTGTAATATGCCGTTGCATGTACGCACTACAATTTATTCATCCATTCTACTGAGTGACATTTAGATCATTCCTAGTTTGGAGCTGTTATAAATAACGGTGCTACGAATAGTCCTGTTCATGTCTCTCAGTGTGCTCTTGCATATATTTTGGTTGGGTTTCGTTCTTTTTGGGAGGAGAGGCCCCACGACCACCCTCAACGTCAGTGACATTCCAGAAGTACTCATAAGACTTAATGACCACTAATATTTGTAGATAAGGTTTCTTACAGCAGAAGATACAGAACAAAAACTTTTGTAAGGCCTCTTCTGATGTTGCATTTCTCAGTTTACGTTTCTCTGAAATATTTTTATTTCCTCTTTATTGATGAAAGATACTTATTATTTTCTTACAACCCATTCCAGGTACAATTCATTGTGTCCTGGCTTCCATTGTTTCGCTTAAGCAGTCAGCTAACAGTTGAATTGTTGATGTTGTGAAATTGACCGACTTTTTCTCCCTCTCCGGTTGCCTTTAAGAATTTTTGTTTATCTTTGGTCTTCACCACTTGTACCAGGCTGTGTCTGTTGTTGTTGCTTTATCTTATTTTGGAGTTTACTGAGCTTCTTTAGAAGAAGAAACAAACAAAAAAAACTCTTAATATTTTTTTTTTATGAATTTTTATTTATTTTTTTGTTACAGATATTTTACCTTTTTACCCCATTGGCACCCCCCACCCCACCCCCCCTCCACCCTGTCCCCGGCTTAGTTGTCCATGTCCATTGGTCATGCGTACATGCCTATAAGTTCTGTGGTTTATCTCTTCCCACCCCCCCACCCCCCATCCCCTCTTCTGAGGGATGTCAGTCTGTGCCCTACTTCCATGTTTCTGGGTCTACTGTATTCCTCAGACTGTTATGTTCATTATATTCCGTATATAAGTGAGATCATGTGGGATTTGTCTTTTTCTGCTTGGCTTCTTTCACTTAGGATAATACTTTCCAGGTCCCTCCATGTTGTCTCAAAGGATAAGAGATCTTTCTTTCTTACCACTGCATAGTACTCCATTGTGTATATGTACCACAGTTTTTTTATCCATTCGTCTACTGGTGGACACTTGGGCTGTTTCCAGATCTTAGCTATTGTAAATAGTGCTGCTATGAACATGGGGGTACATATATTCTTCCTGATTGGTGTTTCAGGCTTCTTAGGGTATATTCCCAGCAGTGGGATCACTGGGTCAAATGGAAGTTCAATTTTTAATTTTTTGAGGTAGCACCATATTGTTTTCCATAGCGGCTGCACCAGTCTGCATTCCCACCAGCAGTGTATTAGAGTCCCCTCATCTCCACACCCTCGCCAACACTTGTTGTTTGATGATTTGTTGATGGCGGCCATTCTGACAGGTGTGAGGTGATACCTCATTGTTGTTTTAATTTGCATGTCTCTGATGATTAGTGATGTTGAGCATTTCTTCATATGTCTCTTGGCCATTTGTATGTCCTGTTTGGAGAGGTGTCTATTCAGCTCCTCTGCCCATTTTTTAATTGGGTTCTTTGTCTTCCTTTTGTGGAGTTGTATGAGCACTCTATATATATTGGAAATTAACCCCTTATCTGATATATCATTGGCAATGATGTCAACCTCTTAATATTTTTTAAATTAATTTTTAGAGAGGGGAGAGAGAGAGAGAGAAATATCTATCGATTGCCTCCCACATGATCCCAACCAAGGATCAAACCAGCCACCCTCTGGTGTATGGGACGATGCTCCAACCAACTGAGCCATCCAGTCAGGGCTGAGCTTCTTAAATAGATATGTATTGAAGTCTTTCATCACATTTAATAAATTCTCTGTCATTGCATTTTCTGCCGCATTTATTTTTTTCCTCTTCTTCTAAGATTCTTAATGAAACGTGTTGCACTTTATTATTATAATCTCTATAGCTACAGTCTATTTTGTATTTTCCATTTTGTATCTCTCTGTTCTTCTTGTGAACAGACCTGATTTCTTCTGAACTGCTGTCCAGTTTACTAATTCTTTCTTCTACTGTGCCTAATCTGTTAAACCTTCCATTAGCTACAGATTTTAGTTATTATATTATTTTAGTTTTAAAATCTCATTTGGTTCTTTTATAATCTTTATATCTTTTTTGTAGTTTCTAGGTCTGAAATTTTTTATTTTATTCATCGTCTTCTTAACCATATTAAAAGTAGTTACTTGAAAGTCTGTTGGCTAATCCTACTATTTGGAGCCTGTGAGTCTATTACTATTATCTATGTGTTCTGCTGGTTCCATTGGCTCTTGCTTATGTTCTAATGCATTTTTAAAATGATATATTTAATTATTTTTACAATGCCTCACTTTACAGATTATTTGTGGTCCCTAAAAAAAAAACCAAATATAGATTATTTTTCCAAATACAGATTTAAAAAATTAAACAAAACACAGAGAAGGACTGGCAGAAGCGGGGTGAAACCATACGGGCAGACCTGGGGCCACAGGCTGTCCTGGGCTGAGCCTCCCTTTGCCCTCAGATTCCTGGTGACAGTGGGCGGGGCAGTGGCCCCCGGGGGAGGCCTCACGGAGCAGGGAGGGCTGCCCTCAGCTGGGTAAGAAAGTTCCTTTGACTGACATTTATTTGCATTTCAGGCTCATAGAAGAAATGACTGGAAATGTTGGGAAAGGAATAAATATTGCCCTTGTCAATTGTAAGTTATTAAACATTTTCTTTAAAACTTCTCTACAAACACTGTGACAGGCTTTTCCAAGATACCTTGGGTTTTCCATGGTTTTTGCATCGATCCAGTTTAGGTTTATTTGTTTATTTTATCTATTTATTTTTGTCAATCCTCATCTGAGGATATTTTTCCACTTCTTTTTAGATAGAGTGGAAGGAAGGGGGAGAGAGAAACATTGATGTGAGAGACACATTGATTGGTTGCCTCCCACCTAACCCCAGCAGGGGCCAGCTGGGGAGCAAACCTGCAACCCAGGTACGTGCCCTTGACCAGGAACCAAACCTGCGACCCTTCTGTCCATGAGCCGATGCTCCAACCGATAAGCCAAACTGGCCAAGGCTAGGTTTATATTGTAATGCATCTTTTAAATAATATATTTAATTATTTTTACAATGCCTCACTTTACAGATTAGTTGTGGTCCCTAAAAAAAGAAAACCGAAATCAAATATAGATTTTAAAAATAAAACAAAACACAAAGAAGGGCTGGCAGACGCAGGGTGAAACCCTACGAGCAGACCTGAGGCCACAGGCTGTCCTGGGGCTGAGCGTCGCTTTGCTGTCAGATTCCTGGTGACCCACTAGAGGGCGACTCCACCGCTAGCTCCTGCCTCTGTGTAACAGAGGGGACGAGGGTCTCAGGGGAAGCAATGCTGGGCCTCCTCTGAGGCCTGGGAAAGACGTTCTGCAAGGATCGCCCCTGGGGACCCCGACGATGACAACCGCAGCAGGTTTGGAGAAGGGGTTTTACATGGTGTCCCTGCAGCACGCTGAGCACGTTGTCCAGTGACAGCAGGGCTGCAGGTACCCGAGACAGACTGTGCCCTGCATGATAATCCGGAGGGGGACCCAAAGTAAGAAGCAAAAAAGGCCGAGGTGGGAACTCGGGGGACTCTGTGAGAAGAGGCAGGTGTGACAGGAAAGTGTCGGATCAAAGCTCACGGGGAGCCGCGGGAAGGAAGTCCTGGAGCAGCTGAGGGGCCCCTGTGGTCTCTCTGCCCTGCATCGCTTGGGGCACCCGCCCCCCCAGGGCTGCGGCCATCTCCAGGCTGGGTCACTGCTGCAGCCAAGGTTCCTGGAAAGAACCCGGAGGAAACGGACCATGCAGGGAACGCCCACGCCATGAGTGCACCCTGAGTCCCCGTGAACGTGCTTCTAAATACGGTTTTTTCCTTTATTGATTTTAGAGAGAGGAAGGGAGAGATAGAAACATCGATGAGAGAGAACATCGATCGACTGCCTCCTGCCTGCCCCCCACCGGGGATCGGACCCACAACCTGGGCCTGTGCCCCAACTGAACGTTCTTTTAAAACTGTTCCTTTTCTTTTCAGATACGACTGGGAAAGTGATAGCAACACAATATTTTGATATGTTTCAAGATGGTAAGATAACCCTTTTCTGTTAGAATGGAAATGAATTAGAAACATAAGTCAGGATTTAAAAAACACAAACAAAATGCCAAACATTCTTATTTTGTCCACTGAGAGAGTTGCCAGAAGCTCCTGCTGAGTATCCCAGGGGGGTCGTCCACGCGTCCTGGGGGGGGGGTCGTCCACGCGTCCTGGGGGGGGGGTCGTCCACGCGTCCTGGGGGGGGGTCGTCCACGCGTCCTGGGGGGAGGGTGTTCACGCGTCCTGGGGGGGGGGCGTTCACGCGTCCTGGGGGGGGGGCGTTCACGCGTCCTCCCAGGGTGGGGGCGTCCACGCGTCCTCTCAGTCTTTGAGTCCACATAACACAGTCTGGAGGCATTATCTAGAAAATTCCTTTTCTCTGGTCACACGTGCCCTGAATCTTTTCCTTCTGTTCCCTTATTAGATAATGAGAAGAGACTTTTTTTAAAAAAAAATTTTCTTTATTAATTTTTTAGAGAGAGAGGAAAGGAGAGGGAGAGATAGAAACATCAATGCGAGAGAACATCGACTGGCCGCCTCCTGCACGCCCCCCACTAGGGACTTGGCCCACAACCTGGGCATGTGCCCTGACCGGGAATCCAACTGGCAACCTCTTGGTGCAGGGGTGGACGCTCAACCACTGAGCCACACCGGCCGGGAAGAAGAGACATTTTTAAATTAAATACATGTAAAATAATGCAATCAGCATTCAGTCCTGAATATCATCATAATTCCCGTCCTGTACCTGGTGCTCACTGGGCTCCACGCACACAGTCCTGGGCCCACGACCCCCTCTCTCCTTCAGTAGTCTGTCTGTTCTGGGCACTGGGTCTTGACTACAATTGTCATCAGGATAGGCCAATCCCTTTTGTTTTTATAATACTGAGAGTCATTAACAATAAAAGTCTCTATAAAGATAATGGAGACGAGCAATGAGAAATGCTGGGGTCCCACTTTGCGGGAATTAAGTATTTTTCCTCTGTGGCCGACTCAACCCTAACTATACATATCTAGCCCCAGGGCTGAGTGATGGGGTTTGGGATGGCTCTCTGTTCCTGTAGGGCATAGACAGGCCTCTTGGCAAAGACTTCCCAGCAGGGTGTGTCCGCACTCGCCTCCACTCCGCACACCGGTGCCTGGGGCTCCTCCCCACGGGGTGCTCACGCGTGGGCGGGCTTCCTTAGTCATGGCAGAGAACTCCACCGGTGCCACCAAGTCGCTGCTGGTTTGGAGTCTGAGTTGAATCCTTTGATCGGACCGCGCTCGGACCGCAGCCGGCCCCACGAGAAGCCCAGCAGCTGTCCACCAGAGAGCTGGAGTGCCGCGGGCACGGTGGCAGAGGGGCTCTGGGACCCGAGACCGCGCAGAGGATACTGATGCGGAGGGCCGGGGAAGCCCTCAGTGTCTCCCCGAACAGTGCTCCTAAAGCTGGTTTGCACTGACCCCACAGATAACTCCGAACCGATGACCGAGTTCATTCAGGGCGCTCCTGCGAAGTCCCTGCTCCTCATGATGACCCACGACGATGGCAGCAGTCGGTGAGTGTGTGTGGCTTTGCCACTGCAGTGGGGGAGGGAAGAGAAGCCGGCAGGACGGAGAGTGCCCGGGGCCCCTCCGCACCCTCCAGGGAACAGTGAGCCGCCAGGAAGCAGGATGCTTCGCTGAGGGAAAGTAGGGGAGCATGACAAAGCAGACGGCGTTTCAGTGACCAGCACTCAAGCGCTAGACGCCAAGATTATGTCCAGGTCGCAAGACAGCTACCGCTGACCAGAATGAGAAGAGCAAGCCAGGAAGGCCACGCCCACGGTGGGACGTACAGAACCATGAGATTGAGAACATTTCTCTGCCTGAGGAGCCAAGGAAGGACGCACACACACGCACACAAACACTCATGCACACAAACACACGCACACACAGACACACACACGCACACACAGACACACACGCACACACATGCACACACAGACACACACGCACATGCACACAAACACGCACATGCACACAAACACACATGCACACACAGACAAACACGCACATAAACACACGCGCACACAAACACACATGCACATAAACACACACGCACACAAACACACACGCACACAAACACACATGCACACAAACACACGCGCACACAAACACACATGCACACAAACACACGCACACACAAACACACACGCACATAAACACACGCGCACACAAACACACACGCACACAAACACACACGCACACAAACACACATGCACATAAACACACGCGCACACAAACACACATGCACACAAACACACGCACACACAAACACACACGCACATAAACACACGCGCACACAAACACACACGCACACAAACACACACGCACACAAACACACATGCACATAAACACACGCGCACACAAACACACATGCACATAAACACACGCGCACACAAACACACATGCACACAAACACACGCGCACACAAACACACATGCACATAAACACACGCGCACACAAACACACGCGCACACAAACACACACGCACACAAACACACACGCACATAAACACACGCGCACACAAACACACACGCACACAAACACACACGCACACAAACACACATGCACATAAACACACGCGCACACAAACACACATGCACATAAACACACGCACACACAAACACACATGCACATAAACACACGCGCACACAAACACACATGCACATAAACACACGCACACACAAACACACATGCACATAAACACACGCACACACAAACACACATGCACATAAACACACGCACACACAAACACACATGCACATAAACACACGCGCACACAAACACACATGCACACAAACACACGCGCACACAAACACACATGCACATAAACACACGCGCACACAAACACACATGCACACAAACACACGCACACACACACGCGCGCACACAGGCGCACGCGCGCGCACACGCACTGCTTTCCTGGGGAGAAGCCGACCTAGCCCCGGCTTTCCCCTCCTGCTCTTCTGACGAAGGTGTGTCTTCACTGCCCAGCGTCTCAGAACCTCAAAGCGCTTATTTGCACGACTGTGAGTTTCAAAAACGGGTCTCCTGAGCACAGGACTTCCCAGATTACTTAAACCTCAGATTTTGTTTTTAATAGAACTTCTTACCAGACTGAAGTTTTTTGATGCACACTTGGAAAAACTCAGATTTAACTCATTTTCGAATATCTAAACTTGTTACTTTTTTCTTTTTCTTTCTACCCTCCTTCCTTAGCTTATTCTTTTTTTTTTTTTAATTCTTACCCAAGGATATGTTTTTATTAATTTTAGAGAGAGAGGAAGGGAGAGGGTAAGAAAGAGAGAAAAAACACTTGTGTGAGACAGAAACTTTGATTGGTTGCCTCCCATACTCACCCCGACCAGGGATCGAACCCACAACCTGGGTATGTGCCCTGGCCAGGAATCAAACCGGTGACCTTTCTGTGTACAGGACGATGCTCCAGCCAACTGAGCCACCCAGCGGGGCCTTAGCTTACACTGAAGTTGCAGCCTTTTACAATGGCAGTAATACTGGCATTTCTGAATATGAAAGGGACACTTTCGACCTTGGCTTTCACCTTTCCGTAACTTCTGCCACCTTAGTTTGTGGTCAGTGAACAGGGGGGTGAGCAAGGACCGGAAATTGTGGTGTCTGAGGGTGGCGGTGTGCTTGAACACACAAAGGCTTTTCGGAGTTGAGAGTTAAAAGTCGGTGCCCACAATTGAGTTGAAAGAGCCCAGGATGTTGTCACGTGTTTAACTGGAACTCTGACTGACTCAGCCAGCGAGGTGCCCCTTTTCCTGTTTACGCCCCAGGAGATGAGTGGCTTTAGAAAGCTCTGTCCTGGGACAGGCAGTGTGCCCCACAGGGTCCCCACGCGAGACCTCCAAACGCTCTCCCCTTCATCCCCAGGCTGAAGGAGGACGCCAAGAAAGCCATCGAAGCACTTGGAAGCAAAGAAATCAGGAACATACGGTTCAGGTCAAGCTGGGTGTTTCTCACGGCAAAAGGGTTTGACCTCCCTGCGGGAATTGAGAGAGAGAAGGTGAGTGGTGGTTATTGTTTTTTCTTCTAGTCGACACGCGATAACGATATTAGCTTCAGGCGTACAGACAGTGATTCAACAGGTGCATACCTCACAACCTGCTCACCCAGTCTGGTAACCATCTGTCACCCCAGTCGTGGTTAGGAGATGTCCCTTCCCGCAAGTGGTTAGTACAGTACGGGCTGTGATTTGAAAAGTCGCCAGTCAGTTGCAGTTCCCGATGTCTGGATCCGACCCTGTGAAGAGTCCATGCACCGGGCGATGCGGGGGTGGTCGCCTGGTCACTTCTCCACCCAGGGGTCCTCACTCCTAAATCTGGGGTGGGGTGTGGAGTCACACCTTCCACTCAGCAGGTGCCTGATGCGTCATTACGGGTCAAGCTGTCCATGCTGAGAATGGAGGTGGTTCTCATTAGAGCAGCATTAGAAAGTTTCCATTCTCAAGCCTCCTTAAAAGTGGAAAACTCGGAGTGGACTGCGGGTGCTGATCTCCCACCACGCTGCAGTCAGCACAGCGCCTCCCCTTTGCCTCCGTGGGGCACAGTCACAGTTCCTGGGGCGGGGGCTCAGACCCCGCCCGCCCGCGCCCCCAGCGCGCCGAGAACCAGCGGCCGCGGAACCTTGGGCAAGTGGAGCTTTCGTTGCTGTTACTGCAACGTGTTCAGGGCCGATCTGAACACGTTATTTCGCAAAGAAAAGTAAACAGCAAAAGGATGAAGTTCTACCGTGGTCGCCTGTGAAAACTGCAGCTGGGGGTCGGGGACATGTCGTAGGATTTGCAAGCTGACGCCTGCAGGGACGATGGCGGTCTCTTTCGGACTGTGCGGCTCTCCAGAAACAGTGCCGAGACTCGAGACTCGGGCTTCGGACGGAGCTGGCCGCCTGCCAGGCAGCGAGACCGCCCCTCCCCCTGGGCAAAGGGCCTCCTTTCCACGAGAGAGAAATCCAAAGGAGGCAGAGATTTCAGTGTCTGCGGGGCGTGCCACAGGTTGCTTCTGACGTCAGGTGAGGACACCGGGTTCAGGTCCCCTGCTCACACTGTCGGACATGGTGATGGGTCTGGGAAGGAAGACAAACAGAAGCAGGCGGGTGGCTGGGTCCCTCCCTAGTCGGCAGGACCACCCAGGTGGAGGAGAAGGGGTTGGATGAGGGTGAGTTCAGTGCAGCCACACAGGTAACTGATGACAGATGCCCAGGGAAAGCCCTGGGCCCTCCGACGCCCTCTGCTGTAGCCCTCCAGAGCCCGGGAGCCCAGTCATTTTAGCACGCGTGCGCAACAGCGTGTTTTCTCCTTGTACCCTGTGCCCTTCCACGGCCGAGGAGCGTTTCCCCAGGCCCCGCCTAGACCACTCTTTACTAATGATCGGGTTTGGACACCAAGTGTGCTTGTGACCTCAGGGCTGGTCCTGAGTGAGGCATGCCCTGGGCTCCGTGTGGCGGCTCTCCCCGGGCCACCCTGCCGGGACCTGCAGTGGGGAGGTGAGCCAGGTGCGGCTGGGAGGGCGGCTTGGCGCCCAGGGTCAGATTTGCCAGGGGCCACGTGTGACCCTGAAAAAGCCACGTTGCCTCTCTGGGCTTGAGTTTTTGGGTCTGTGTGATGAAATGAACGCTAGATAATTCTTCTGCAGCTGTGGGGTGGGTATGTGCTGCATTTGCCCTTGGCCTTCCGCAGGCTCACCCAGGACAGTGACACGGGACCACCTTCTCCACCTCTCGTGTGATCTCGTCTGGTATCTTATAGGTCTCCAGGCTTTATCTACCCGCTGTGTGGCTTTAGGCAAGTTACTTAACCTCTCTGTGCCTCAGAATCACCCCTTGTGAGAAAGGGAGGAGGACAGCACCTATCATACAAGAGTCAGTGAGGACTAAGTGACTGAAACATGAGAGATTTAGCAAGAAACTGAGCATAGAGCCCAGTTAATCCAGAGCAACTAGGCTTTTCTAGAACTTCATCAGTTCTTTCCAACCAGCCCACCCCAACCGCCCTCTCAACCTGAGCCTCCTTAAAAAGCACTGATGCTTGCCCTGGCCAGTCTGGCTCAGCGGCAGAATGTCGGCCCGCGGACCAATGAGTCGCAGGTTCAATTCTGGCCAAGGGCACGTACCTCCGTTGCGGTTCGTCCCCAGCCCTGTTCGGGGTCGTGCAGGAAGCAACCAGTCAATATGTCCCTCTCGCGTCGATGTTTCTCTCTCTCCCTTTCTCTCCCTCCCCCTCTATCTGAAGATAAATAGAAAAATTTCCTCTGGTAAGGATTAAAAAAAAAAAAACACCGATGCTCAGGCCACTGAACTGGAATCCCAGAGGGCGGGCTTGGCGGGGTTCCTGGTGTACAGAGGGGGGACCCACTGCGTTGATTTTCCTGAGGAAATGGAGAACCCACTTCCTGTGCACATCCAAACTCCCCTTCACACCCCAGCTGGCTTTAAACAGAAAGGGACGAGTGGACCCTAAGCTTCCTGGGGAAACTCGAGGGAGCCAGCCAGACGGCCAGGGCAGTCTGGGAAAAGAAGAACAAAGCTGAAGGACTCACACGTCCCGATTTCAAAGCTCACTACAGAGCCACGGTAATCAGGCCGGTGTGGTACTGGCGCAAGACGGACGTACCGGCCCACGGCTAGAATCGGGAGTCCAGCAATAACCCCTCCCATGTTTAGTCGGTTGGTTTTCCACGAGGGCACCGACAGCACCGCGTGGGGAACGAGTCGTCTTCCACGTGCGGCGCTGAGGCCATGGGCCGCCCACGCGAAGGATGAATCCGGAGTCCTGCGTCACTCCAAAGGTGGAAACTAAGTCAAAATGGGTCAAATGACTAAATGTGGGAGCTAGAACCATAAAACTTAAAGAAGGAAACGTAGCCATAAATCTCTGTGACCTTGAATTAGGCAGTAATTTCTTAGCTACACCCCAAAAGCATAAACAAAAAAAAAAAAAGAAAAAATAGATAAACTGCATTTCATAAAAGTTTAAAACTCTTGTGCATCAAAGAACACCCCCAAAAATGTGAAAAGACAACCTACAGAATGGGAGAAAAAAATTGCAAATAAAGGACTCATACCCAGAATGAACACAGAACTCTTACAGCTCCATAACGAGAAGACAAATAGCCCAATTTTAAAGTGGGCAGAAGATGTGAATAAATTAACTCCAAAGAAGACATCCAGGCAGCAATAAGCACGAGAGAAGATGCTCGTGACCAGCTGTCAGGAAAATGCAGACAAAAGCCCCAGTCAGACACCACCTCACCCTCACTAGAATGGCTGTAACAAAAAACAAAAAGCATCGTAAGAAGTGTTGACAAGGATGTGGAGAATTTAGAACCTCCATACACTTTTGCAAGAAACGTGATAATACGGCTACCTTGGGAAACATTCTGGAAGTTCCTCAGAAAATCAGGCACGTGGGTACCATGTGACCTAACAACGCCACTCCTAAATATAGACCCAAGAAGATGGAACCATGGTCACACGTGCTGTGTACATGTATGTGCATAGCAGCATTATTCACAACAGCCAAAAAGTGAAACAACCCAAATGTCTTATTAATATATAAAAGTATATAAATAAAATATGGTATAGCCATACCTGGAATATTATTCAATCATATAAAGAAATAAAGCACTGATACATGCAACAACATGGATGGGCCTTGAAAACATGCTAAGGAAAGAAAACAGAACACAAAAGACCATATACTGCTCATTTTATTTATATGAAATTTCCTGAATAGACAAAATCCGTAGAAACAGAAAATAGCCCAGTGAATATCTAGGGCTGTGGGAGACGAGGAAGGACCGCGTAGGGTGCGTGGTTTCTTGTTCATTGTGATGGTTGCATATCTGCGAATATACTAAAAACCACTGAAGTGTACACTTTGGGTGAATTTTATAGTATGTACATTATATCTCAAAGCTGTTAAGTATAAAAGGATATATAACTAGAATTTCAAAGTTTAGAAGGTATATTATTCTTTTTAAGCATTAATTAAGACACTCCATTATCTGCAAAAGAATTGAAAATATAAAGGGCTAAACCTGCATGAATATGAACACGCGTTTGCTGAGCTAGGAATTGTGCTGTTACCCTAAAAGATGTCGTCCTGCTCCCAAAGAATGAAAACCCAACGTTAGAGCCTGCTGTTTAATACAGCAGCTACTAGGCAACTTTGCATTTCTGTTTATTAAATGTATTACTGTCATTGAATTTATTGAAATCAAATAGAACTCAGAATGCAGTTCCCCCCTCGCACTGGGCACAAGTACTGGACAGCCAGCTATGGCGAATGGCTACTCTATTGGACAGTGTTGATCACGGAATATTTTACATCATTGCAGAAAGTTCTGGAGCTGCACTAACACCTGGTTCAAACAGTCTTAGGAAGCACGTTCAGAGAAAATCAAGTACCCAGAGTGGGTTGGAGCAAATTCCATTCTAAAAAGTGATTCTAGCCACTTCCTTGAATGGAATTCGTCATCAACAGGACTTTGCTCAGAGCTGACATGTTAAATATTTGTTGACTAGCAAATAAATAAAATTCTTGTCTTTCCTTTACACAGATCGACCACTCTATTAATGCAAAGAACAGAAACTTGGACTGGCCTGAAGAAATACAGATAAAAGGCTGCATACCGAAGGAACCAAGCTAACATTGTGCAGACTTAATAAATATGTTATTTATAAACAAATGAGCCCTGAAATGCCCCAAGAATTTTATCCAACAGTCAATATTTGATTTATGGGTTTTGTCATCAACTAACCAATGTGTACTAGTATGAAATCTTGACAGGCAGTATTTGCATGCCAATATTAATACTGTGAGCAGGAAATGAATGGAAATTGTGAAATGAAGGGCTTTAGCTTGGAGAGGAGAAGGTTGGGAGAAGTAACCACTGCTTGTCCCTGTGTGGAGTTATTTTGTGATCAGATCTAAGCTTGATGCTATAGTCCTGACAACTCTGCAGAGAGAAACCCTTGATTCCATAATCATCGAGCACACCCTCCGCTGGGAGCCTTCTCCTAGGAGACGGAGCAGCAGTCAGAGGGCTTGGCAAAGCTGCCTGGTCAGCTCCAGCTGAGCCCTTGAACTCTTCCTGTGGGTCCATGAACTTGCTCTTTCATTGCACAAATCTGTGAAGGGACACAGTCCTGCCTTCCTGCAGTGGTGTCACTCCAGTGGCTGGCCCCTGTTTAATGGGGTGGGGAGGGAAGAGCTCCCCTAGGGCAAGGAGGGTCTGGCCACAGGAGAACAACGGGACAGTATGCTCGGACTTTCTGGAAGGCACATGGTTAGAGCCCTGTCTCCGGGAAGCATCTCCAGTGATGCAGCTGATTGGGGGTGAAGACAATGGGTCGTTTCCAGGTGCTCTTTCTAACTGTCTTTCCAAGCCTGGCTACCAGGAAAGCTAGGAGACTTTGATCCCAGCTTAGTATCGCTTCTCTGAACCCCTCGTTTCTCACTGTGGGACGCAGGAATCGGGATAGATGGATGAGCTCAAACATTTTTATCAGGAGAGCCCTGGCCAGTTTGGCTCAGCGGTTAAAGCGTCGGCCTGCGGTCTGGAGAGACCCGGGTTCGGTTCCCGCTAAGGGCATGTACCTCGGTTGCAGTTTGTCCCCGGCCCTGGTTGGTCGTGCGGGTGGCAGCCACTCGATGTGTCCCTTTCACATCGATGTTTCTCTCACTCTCTCCCTTCCTCTCTCTCCCTCCCACTCTATCTGTACAAAAAATGGAAAAATATCCTCGGGTGAGGATAAGAAAATAAAATTTAAAAAAAAACACATTTTTATCAGGAGAAATCCTTTAAAAAACATGATAGCACATGGCAGCACCTTGACTTTCAGCATCCTTGTCATAGCAAACCAGTGGCTTATAACAGCACTGAGTTCTCCTTCGAGTTACACGTGAGCCACAGGTCAGCTGTGGCCGGGCCGGAGCAGGGTCCCTACCAGGCACAGAACCAGACAGAACAGAATCCCATGCCCCCGGAACTCCTGCCAGGGCTCAGTGTGAGCCCCACCCCTTCTTATCTGCCGCCCAGGCCCAGCCAGGGCATGTCTGCAGTGTGGCAGTGGGTAGAATAAATATTTGTGAGTCAGGCAAACAGTGACTGGTCTATTATTATTATTATTAATTTGATGCTGAGTTTACTCCCAGGCCACAAGTTTTTATTTCTTATTTATTCTGGTATCTCTTTTTCTTCTGTGCAACTTCCTCTTGCAGTTCAGAAACCATGTTTGTTTGTTTTTGATTCACGGATTCATTAGGTCATACACGCACACATACTGCTAATGGCATTAGCAAAAGATCAATGTAAGAACACTCCCTAATTCTGCAACTGTCAATTTAAAAAATGTTGTTCTAGTGGTTGAAAGTGGACTTTGTTTTCTTGCCAGTGGGTGAGCTGCACGGAACTTCGCCGGCAGAGCTCGGGGTTTCCAGAACCCCACACCCAAAGGAGCAGTGTCGGGCAGGGCACAGGTAGCCTGTCCACTCGGGGAGGCAGAGGCAGGCCAGCACTGGCCAAGGCACAGTGCTGGGATCTGGCGAGACAGTGATGGTAAGAAGGTTCATAGTTTAAGGATATATAAGCTCTTTTAAAAACCGTGAAGATGCGACACGTGACTTTCACATCTAGTTACTAGAAAACAAAGGAAAGCGCTCGTTAGCTTTTAATAAAGGAGCTGAAGCAGGAATGCACTGTTACTACCCTACAAAAGAACTCCTAATGCATTATCAAGAAAGATTTTAGACAAGGAGGCATATTGCTCAAGGGATTCTATAAGAAAAGCACTAAGTTAGCAACTATGGGAATGACCGGTTCAGAGAGTAATTAAATGCCCAGTTTGGGGAGGGATTACAGGTTTAAGAAAAAGGAAACTCTTGAGAAAACAATTATTGATTAATACCGACTTTCTTCATCACGTACTGCGTTTGCCAGAAACTAACCTTCTAAAAATTTTACCCGTGACACTTGTGTTCAGTTTAGTTATTATGTGTACAGTGTAATGCCAGTTAATCTCCACCTCATATTCTGTCCGAACACCGTCTTGTCCTTGCATCACGTCGAGTGTTCCCACACTCCACCCCAGCCCCCCACGAGAGCAGAATACATCAGAGGATCACGTGAGGGCCGGGTCTGTTCAAAATCTCAGAAAAAAGCGAATGCACTAATTTTTTAAAATCTCACTACAAAATCAAAAAGCTCAATCCAAAGAGTTGGGTTGTTCCACTCATCCCATTAGGATACACAGTGCAAAGTCAGGTGAGGAGCAGGGGTGATAAAGGATCATTGATGGCTAAGTGGCAGCATTTCACAGAGGCTGCTTGTCCCGACCCATCAGCGAGGCGGCCCCTCCCTACCTCCAGAAGGTCCTTCCGCGGCGCAGCAGTGAACTTGGTCCACCAGGCGTCTTGGCAGCTCAACCTGAGCAAGAAGCGCTTTGGGGAAAATGAGGCTTTGGAAAGAAAGCTTGTCAGTTTAGGGCTAAATTTTAATAGAATGTGGAAGTTTGAACTCTTCCACGTGTGTGTTAAAATAAAACCTGAAAGTTACCAACGGGTTCGAAATGGCTTTATGGGAAAACAACTTTGTAACAAAAACGTGGCGTTGAGTGCGCAGGCGCCAGCGCTTGTGCGCGAAGCAGAGGTTCGCAGGGACCGGCCGGGAGAGGAGGCCTGGGCAGCAGCAGCACGTTCTCTCCCTCTTCTTGCTGGAGGCGCGGAGAGCAGCTCCGCCAGCGGCACTGAACCGTCCGGAGGCCTGGCTGTGACAGCCCGGCCCCCAGGTGTTGCCCAGCACCTATTTCCTTCCCCTGCGAAACCCTGCGTGTGGGTGATGGGCGACCGCTTCTTCTCCTTCAGTTTCTCAATCGGGTCTTCATCTCCCCCCAGATCAAGCTTAGTCCCCACCAGGATGATGGGAGTGTTGGGACAAGGATGTCACAGTTCAGGATACCACTTGGCGGAACATTTTCAAATGAGGCAGGACTCACTGGGGAAAAGCCAGTTAAGAATGCATCTGTCTGCGGATAGGAGAGGGGACGGAATGTGTCATAATCCTCTTGTCCAGCAGTGTCCCATAAGCCCAGGTTCACCGGTTTTCCATCGCCATACATTGGCAGAACAGTTGTCAAAGGCAGTGGGGACACACTCTCCAGAAACGCACTGGTTGTGTAGCTGATCAGCAGGCAAGTTTTACCTGCAGCTCGGCCTCCCACCACCACACACGTGAAGGCCTGCGTCTGGGCCCCTCCGTGGGCTGCGGTGGCGGCGGCCGGCGTGGACGGGCGTGAGGTTGCAGGTGGCAAGGCGCAGGGTGCTGGGGCCGCTGTCCACGCCACCTCGCCCTCCTCCAACGGGAAGCTGAAGCCCAGCAGCGGCCACCACCCAAAGCTGTGGAAAACTGCGGATAAACAAGAAATGGCCGCTCCACTCACATCCGGTGGTGTTCCCAGGCTTGGGACCCATCTGTTCTTTTTCAGCGAGGTGAGCTCCCATGTGCTGGAGAGAACACGTGTGAGGGTGAATCCGCCCTTGAGCTCTGGAACTTCTACGCACATCTCGGGAGCTTTGTTCACCTGGATGCGCTTGATGACCAGAGAACCTACATCTAAACCCTGGAGGTCAAGATCACCCTGCATGTTGAAGCATGTGCAGCAAAAATCCAGCACTCTTTTGGGGCCACCGACCCTGTGCCCAGCCCCACTGTTTGCCCTGGGCACGGCTACCACCTCCACCGTGGTGAGGACGGGATGGCGCACGTCGCTTCTGTCAAGTGACCTTGGTGTTTGTCCGAATATGCATATCCTGCTGGCCTGGGCGATTTCACGAGGGTTTTTAAAGTGACCACAAAGATTTGAACCTCTGCATTTGCATGATTTTGTGGGGTTTTCTGGGTTTCAGAGGCTTTGGGACAAGCAGTCAGGCAACCACAGTGCTCAGGGCCACAGAGGACTAGGGTCTGCAGGCACCTGCCGGGGGCTGTGGTCCCTCTGGAGCCCGGGCCCCTCCCTACAGAGCAGGCTGCAGACCATCTCCTGAGATCTTGTCTCAGGCGCCAGGTGAATGACATTTTGTCTCTCCCCAAAATCCATAAGTTGAATCCTAACACCCAGCACCTCCGAGTGTGACCTTATTCAGAAATAAGGTCATTGCAGTTGTAATAAGTTAGAGTATGATGGCCCCTAAGCCAATGTGACTGGTGTCCTCCTTATTGAAAGGGAACATTCGGCCCTGGCCTGTGTGGCTCCATGGTTAGAACATCAGCCCCGAGCACCAAAGGGTTGTGGGTTCCCAGTTAAGGGCACATACCTGGGTTGCAGGTTTGATTCCCAGCCCCGATCGGGGTGTTGCAGGAGGCAACCAATGTGTCTCTCTCAAATCGATGTTTCTCTTTCTCTCTCTTCCTCCCTCCCTTCCACTCTCTAAAACTCAATGGAAAAAAATATCCTCGGGTGAGGATTAACTAAATAAATAAAATAAAATAAAATAAAATAAATAAATAAATAAATAAATAAATAAATAAATAAAAATTAAGACCAATCAAATTTAAAAAAAGAAAAAGGAGGGCATTTGGAGACACACACACAAGGAGATGCCATGTGGCAACAAGGCAAGAGGTGGGTGATGCTTCCGCAAGCCAGGGAACATGGAAGATGACCAGCAGCCCCCAGAAGCCGCGACAGGGTGGGCCCGGCTCTCCCCGGAGCCTTCAGAGGGCGCACAGCCCGCCCACACCTCGAGCTTAGCCTTCTGGCCTTAACACAGGGAGAGGGTACATTTCTGTTGTTTCAGCCACCCAGGTTTTGGTGCTTCTTACGGTAGCCCCGGGACACTGCTGTGGTTTCCTTTAGCTTGTCAACTCTCAGGTACGCAAAGGGTTCCTGTGTTTTTTTAAAAGGTGGGAGGGGCTGAATTTTTTTTTTTTTTTCCTGTGGCTGAAATTACTCCATTTTCACAGCAGCGTTGATGTTAACTCACTGTAACCGGTGCAGCCTCAGGAGTACTGCTGAGCAGACACGGCCAGAAATCCTGCCTGGCGCTGGGGAGCTCCCGTGACACCCCAGCCCCAGCCCTGCGATGGCCCTGGTGTGTTGGTGGCAGCTGCCACCGCCGTCCTCACTGGTAGCCCCTACGTGGGGCCCAGGACTGACCTGTCCTGTTTCCCATCCACCTGGGCCCTGAGGCTGACTTCATTCCTGGGCCCCGCACTGGGGGAGCCTCGAACATCTTTGCACAAAGCCACCTGCTGCTCACCTGGGACGCTTGGAACACGTCAATAAATAGAGACGCTCACTAAAATCAGCCCCCTTGGTTGTGGCCTTGGCGATATTTCTTTTCCAGATTTGGGTTTTCTACCTACATTTTGATTTTATTCCATTAAATAAACTGGTGATTAGTAGAATGGCCTGAGTTGCTGGAGTGTGGTTTAGGCACTGTGGTGGTGACTTCTTTTAGCACGTTGAGGTTAACATTCCTGAATACAGCAGGGGACACCCTCTGGACAGGGTCACCATCCCTGCTCAGTGCCTGTGCCTTCGGAGCCTGGAAACCACTAGGGGGCAGGAGGGTGTCCCCTGGCTTCACTCTGTGCCCGCCCTGCCCCTTACTGGCAAACCCTTTGGGGTGGTAACCAATCCCCTTTCTGGGCTCCAGACGCCCCGAGAGTCAGGGAACAGGCAGCAGGCTGCCAGGGCGGGGGCAGAGCGCGAGGATGCTCGAGGATGTTCGAGGATGTTCGAGGCAGCCTTCGACACTGCTCCGTGAGATACCACAGAATGCACAACACCGAGAGTGCAAACTGGGGACTCTGGGTGACGACGACGTCACTGTAGGTCCATGGATGGTAACAAGTGCACCGCTCTGGGGCATGTTAATGGTGGGGGGTTGTGTGGGGGGAGGGCAGGGGGTATATGGGACACCTCTGTGCCTTCAGCTCAATTTCGCTGTGCACCCAAGCTGATGTAAAAAAAAGTAAAGTCTGTTACAGGAGGAAAAGCTGCCAAGGAGAACAAGACTTAGATGGCAGGGCCCCCACCCCCACCCCCAGGCAGGGCCAGTGGAAGCTTCCAGAAGGACTGCAGCCTCCCTGCCCCGTGGGGGTGGAAGGACAGCGCAGGGAGGGCCTGGAGGCAGCCTGCTCCACAGAGAGGGGCCGCCTCGGCTCTCCACCCTCTGAGGAGGCCTGGGAAGGTGGGCATTTCCCAACCCCTCTCAGCACTCTTTTTTTTTAACATTATTTTTTCTTTATTGATTTTAGAGAGAGAGGAAGGGAGAGGGAGAGGGAGATAGAAACATCGATGAGAGAGAACATAAACTGGCCGCCTCCTGCACGCCCCCCACTGGGGATCAGGCCCACAACCTGGGCATGTGCCCTGACCGGGAATGGAACCGGGACCTCTCAGTCCATGGGGTGACACTCAGTCCGCCGAGCCACACTGCCAGGGTAAGATTATTATTTCTTAATTCATAATATTTTGGAAAGGATGGTGGGAGTGGAAACAGACTGAGGCTGCTTCGCCCCTCCCCCACCTGCTCTGGGGGTGGGGATGCCCGGGTCTCCACGTGGGGGGTCTCCTGCCTGTTGACAGGTGAAGTAATTGGAGAGCAGAAGATCATGCAGGCTGAGGCCGGAATTAGGGTTGGGGGTGGGGTTGGAGTTCCTGGCCTGGCGCCCCGGGGCTCAGCCAGCGCCCCCCACCCTTTTCCTGCCCCACCTGGTGTGCAACAACTCCCCAGGGCCTGGCACCAAGCCTATGGGGGAAACGCACTGTGGGACCGGAGTGTTGTGGCAGTCTCTGTGCTCATCCCCAGTCTGTGCTCATCCCTTCTTTGAGTATCAGCGCTGACCACAGGGAGAAGGTGGCAGAGGGTGACATCCTTCTGGTGTGGCTCAGGCACGAAGCCAGCAGGACATCTCAAAACTTTAATTTTTTTTCCCTTTATTGATGTTAGAGAGAGAGGAAGGGAGAGGGAGAGAGAGATAGAAACTAGAAACATCAATGAGAGAGAACATGGACTGGCTGCCTCCCACATGCCCCCCACTGGGGATGGGGCCCACAACCTGGGCAGGTGTCCTGACCGGGAATTGAACCTGCAACCTCTTGGTGCAGGGGTCAATGCTCACCCACACCAGCCGGGCTGTCTCAGGACTTTTAAATCCTATACTTGAGTCGTGCCCTGTGAGGTCCAGAACGGGAGTCCCACATCCTGTGGTCATGTAAATTGCCTTGAAGGGAAAGAGTAAAACACTCAGTTTCTTGGTTGCTCTGGCCCCATTTCAAATGACCTCACGTGTCTCGTGAAGGACAGCACAGAATAGAACATTTCCATTGCAGACCGTCCTCTGGGACAGCGCTTCTCTGACTCTCGGCTCTCCAAGCGTGGCCCCAGGGCAGCCTCCCCGGAAATCTTGTTAGCAATGCAAACTATGGACCCCCCCCCACGTCCCCCGGGTGGACCCGCCCCCTCCGCTCACCGCCCCCCCGGACGACTTAGGGGACCGCTGCTGGAGTGAGACCTAGACCTTGATGCTTCTGTTGGTTTCATTTCCGAGGCCCGGACCTGGTTTCGTTTCCCTGGTTTGGTGAAGGAAGGACGTGGGCGGAGTGGCCCACGCACCAGATAAAAGGGGAGCGCTGGAAGGGGCGGCAGTGACCGGCGGGGACGGCGGGGGACCGGCGCGTCTGGGTGCTCTGGGCTCACAGGTAAGGGCTGCGGGAGAGCTGCCTGCGCGTTCTTAGCCAAACAGATGTGCCTTTCAGAGGATTTCCTGGTGTCAAGAGCCAGGAGCCATAAAGATAAGTTTCGGATGCTGCTGGTGACACGCACTGAGACCTGTCTTGGCACTGGCCTTCTTCAGTCCTGCTCCCAGGGGAGCTCAGGGGGCTCGGGACGGCCCCCTTCCAGGATCTGGCTCAAGGCCTTGTGGTCACCAAGGACACCTCTGCTCGGCAACCATGAAGTGCACACATGGGGTTGGGGCGGGGTTTGTGCCTGTGTGACGCTGAGATTTATAACAAGAAATATCCTAACTGGGTCGCGATGCTGGACATCGCATCCCAGATACGAGACTGAGCATCTGAAAGTTGCTCAGAGAATAGATCTTAAAAGTCCCCATCACAAGGAAAAAAAGATATTGTAACTGTGCATGGGGATGGATGTTAACTAGACTTATTGTGGTGATTATGTCACCATATATACAGACATTGAAAAAAAAACAAAACACGATGTATTTTTTGGTGTTTGTCTCTGTTCCTGTCACGGAGCTCCTAAAGCCCTAGGAGTCTCCTAAGGGGTGAGAGTGTTGTCATTGTCATGTTAATGAGGTTGTGTTGGACCCGGATTGGAGCTGGCCGCCAGGGGAAACACCTGTGGTTAGAGGGCTGCCGCCTCCAGCTCCACCCCCAACCTCCAGGGAAGGGGGAACAGTTGGCCAGTAGTTCTGGATGTAGAACCAGTCATCGGTGGTCAATGATTTGATCAATTATGCCTCAGTATTGAAGCCTCTATAAAACCCCCAGAGGATGGGCTGCGGAGAGCTTCCTGGCTGGTGAATATGTGGAGATCTGGGGAGAGGGGTGCATCCGGAGAGGGCGTGGGAGGTCTGCACCCTTCCCCACACTGGCCCTGCGCATGGCTCCGTCTGCCTGCTGCTAGGTCCCAGCCTTTTCTAATGGACCGGTGATCTAGTAAGTAGCATGTTTCTCTGAGTCACGTGAGCTGCAGCAGCAAATGAATCAGAACCAAGGAGGGTGCCGTCGGAACCTCTGACCTATAGCCGGTGGTCAGGAACACGGGCAACAACCTGGACTTGCCCTCGGCATCTGAAGTGGGTGGGGTGGGGGCAGGGGCAGTCTTGTGGAATCCAGTGCTATCTCCAGGTAGACAGCATCGGTGCGGGGAGGGGATGCATATCGGGATGGGTGTCAGAATGGTAGCCCCAAAGCCAGGTCTCAGGGCTTCAGGTACCCTCTTACTGTGGTGCTGCTGGCACAGGGCCACCCTCAGTGTTGTGCGGAAATGCCCATCTCCTGAGGGGACAAGGCGCTGATTTCTGTCATTTGCTGAGGTCCTGTTGTAAAATGTGTTAAATTATTTTGCCTTCGGATTTTTACTTAGAGACATTGATGCCAAGTCTTCCCAGCAAAGAGAGGCATTTGCGGGGAACAGATCAGGTATAAACCATGGAGGATTAGTGTCCTGGGCCTGCTGTGACAAAGTGACACATCTCAGTGGCTTACACAACAGAAACTTCTCTCCCAGCTCTGGAGGCTGTGGTCTGGGCTCAAGGTTTTGGTGGGGTTGGTTCCTTCCTCGTCTCTGCCAGTTTCTGGTCTTTGCCAGCAATCCTGGGCATTTTGCGGGGAGCATGTCTCCAGATGCCTCTTCAGGTCATGCCACCAGCAAAAGAAGGACTGCAGGCCCCACGGTCACCCGTGACGGGGTGCTCTTCCAGGTCAGGCAGCTCCCCGCCCTCCACAGGGAGTAGGGCACGGGTTAGACTTAGCCCCTTGAGTAAACACATCTTCCTTTCTCTTTCCTGGAAGCGATGATGACATCTCCGTGAGTCAGATTTGGGCTGTACTCTGCTTTTAGGAGAAAAACATTCCTGATTGGTGGGAAAGGAGGCAAACTAACCCCACAGCAGGTCAAGGGGCAACCGTTTCTAATTAATGGCAGTGTCCATGGAAGAAACATTCAGCTGTGAAGAATTTTGTGAGTTTATTTGAGCCCAAACTGCAGACAATCGCCAAGGAGCAAGATCTCAACGGATTGAGCTAGAGCTCGGGAGAATGGCAGTTTTGCACCTTACTTTATACGAGCAGAAGAGGAGATGTGAGTGGGTTACATGAAATCCACTGGTGACAGATCAGGGAGGCGGGAGAAAGCAAAGTGGGGAAACCCCTGGGATTAGATGAAAGTGACATGATAGACACCTACTCCTTGTACATCGGTGGGTACAGGACAGTCAACAATTAACTCAGTGACAGTGCGGGGATGTAGTCTCTGCAGCGGCGCCTGTGCTTCGAGGGGTCCTGAGAAAGGGATGACTTTGACATTCCAAAGGTGTGAGACGGTAGGTGCAAAGGCCACAGGCAGGCCCGTGAAGGTGAAGATGGACCTTCCTTAGGGACGATGCCGGTCTAGGCATGACTACCTGCCGTCACTACTTTTGGTTCAAAAGTTTTCATTTGAGCTCTGGTCGGTTTGGCTCAGTGGTTAGAGCGTTGGCCGGCGGACCAAAGAGTCGCGGGTTCGATTCCAGTCAAGGGCACAAACCTCGGGTGCGGTTCGGTCCCCTGGACTTCACCGGGTTGTGCGGGAGGCAACCACTCGATGTGTCTCTATCATGTCAATGTTTCTCTCTCTCCCTCCCTCCTTCCCACGCTATCTGCAGATAAATGGAAAAATATCCTCAGGTGGGGATTAAAAAAAAGAAAGAAAGAAAGAAAAGTTTTCATTTCAGACCATCCTTTGTGGTGACTTCAGGTCTGCGTCTGCAGGGCCGCCACGAGGCCTCCCTGAGCTGTGAGGTTAGGACGTGGCCCCTGTACGTCCACAGCCGTACTTTCCACTTGGAGAACCGTGGCCTCCTCCGCAGACGGGGGCCGGCGCATGTCTGGGGGGCCAGCAGGCCTGGAAATGGATGCAGGGCATGGGGGTCAGGCCCTTGGACCTACAGAGACTCCTCGGGGGCTCAGTGAAGCCTGTGGGAAGCTTGAAACCCAAGTCAAAAAATGGTCCAAAGGCAGAGGCGGGGCGGAGGGCTGGTCTTCCAGATGGCATTCCTGACATCGCCTGGCACTGATGGTCCTCTGCCATGCGGTCCCCACATCTGAACAGCTTGTCTGTTTCCTCCTCAAAGTAACAACTGGTCGTTGGACCCAAGGCTGTCCTCTTCCAGCCAGTTGCTTGGCTGGTCTGAACTCCCCGGCGCATCTTTTATAAAATTCAGGCTGAATCAACCGGTGAGCAGGGCATGTCCCTGTCTGGGGCCCTCGAGCACAAAGGAGAACGAGCCTCCCATGCCCGGGGCCCCTGGGACGGCTGCTCCCACTCCTGGAGACACTGCAACGAGCCAGCCACCTGCCCGCCAAGGACAGAGGCGGGAGCAGGTCCTCCCTCCAGCCCCAGAGGGAACCAGCCCTGCCCACAGCCCCAGACAGGGAGAGGACAGACTCTGTCCTGAGAGCCCGGGGCTGTGCACCAGGCTGGGACAGGCCCGTGCAGGACTGCTAGGCTGCCGTGCGTGCTAGCGGGGAAAGCGTGCGTGTCGACTCGCCGGCTGGGGTCTGAGTCCTGACGTCACCAGTACAGGGACCCACCTTCCTCTGCTTCAGTTTCTTGGCCTGGAAAATGCAGATAAGCAGCTACTACATGGCAGTGTGGTCCAAGCTGAACGGGTGTCTCAGCGGGAGCTGGGGGACGGGCCTCCATGACACCCGCTGCCACTTAGGGACAGTGCTGCCACCCTCCTCCAGACTCCCCAGCAGCCTGAGGGCCGGGGCTGGCTTCCAGAGGGCCTGAGAGATGCCACCTCCCATCTCGCCACAACTAACAGTCTCTTTTTTATCCTGAGACACAGGTGTCTCAGAGTGACAGGGGAACATTCACACTCTTCCATGAAAATGTGGAATCCACTGCCCCTTGTCCCCCAGGAGCCCTGGGAGCCCTGGGAGCTATGGAGACCCCACTTATTATTCTCTGTGCCTGTCTGCCACCCCCAGCCCTTCCTGCGGACAGGGGGCCTGTGCTGAGATCCTGGTCTCCCCAGTGTCTGTGTGCAGGGCGTGGGCTGTCCCGGGGCTGCGTGAGCGGGTGCTGGCTGGGTGCAGCCTGGGGCAGTTCACCAGGTGACTTGGCCACGCCTCCATCCTGTGTCTGCAGCGTTTGTCAGAAGACTGTGGGTGCTGAGCAGCAGAGAGCCCCCTGCTGGCTGCACCTGGGCGCCAGTCGATGCCAAAGTCCCACAGGTCTGGGGCACAGCAGAAGCACGACTCATTTTCCTCCCAACACTACCCAAAAAAAGAAATGAGTTTCTTCCCACAAGAGCCACCGCGGTTGGTCGCACCAGGAGGACAAGTGAGGTTTCCTCCAAACTGGATGGCAAACAAGGACGCGGTCCACCTCACCAAGAACTTCAACCTGATGACGCTGACCCCTCAGCTGCCCGGAGAGAGCAAGGGCCAGCAGCACACAAAGGTGAGCGTGGAGGAGGGTGCTCAGGACGGGCGCCTCTGGCCACCGGCCGGGGGAGGGGTGGCGAGTGGCTGCAGGTGGCCCACCACCTCCACCGGCACAGCTGGTGTCCCCCAGCTCTCCCGGACCGTCCGGCAGACACCAGGCCCTGTCTCCATATGCGTCTGGGGGCTCCTGCTGCACGTGGGGGGTCTCCTTCCAGGAGCCCTTCCTCCAGCCGTGCCTGCTGCTGTTGTTCTCGCCAGCGCCCCCAGCTCCGCAGCCCCCGGGCCCAGCTCCCCTCCTGCCTCTGGCTGGGAGTGCCCACCTCTTGGTACCTTCTCTCTGCTTAGTCAGGCACCTCCACGCCAGCCAAATACCCCCGCTTCCGCAGAGGCACAGCTGCAGCAGGAACAGAACACAGGGACGTCCCCGGAGGCCACCAGGACCCACCGCTCACCTCCTTTCTGCAGCCTCCATGAGCAGATGTCCGGAGTCTGCAGCAATTCCCTAGAGACACGGAGCCTGATCAGAGGCCGAGGATCTAAAGCTGTTCTGCCTCTTCCAGGGGCTTGAGAAACACCTGTACAACCAGTACGAGGAGAAGGTGCGCCCCTGCATCGACCTCATCGACTCCCTGCGCACCCTGGGCGTGGAGCAGGACCTGGCCCTGCCCGCCATCGCCGTCATCGGGGACCAGAGCTCGGGCAAGAGCTCCGTGCTGGAGGCTCTGTCGGGCGTCGCCCTGCCCAGAGGCAGCGGTAAGCACGGAGTGGCCGGCTTCTCCCCGCGCAGCAGCCAGCCCCTGTGGGGTGCCCGTGGTGGGCGAGACAGGCCGCTGGGAAGGTCCCCAGGAGGGCAGCTCCTGTAGGCCCTGGACAACTTAAGTCTGGCGGGCACAGGCTGCCCCTGGTTTTCCAGGCCCAGCTGCACGTGGCGATGCCGTCGCTGGCCTGGAAGAAGTCACCGTCCTGGGACCCTGCTGTTCCTCCCTAGTGGTCTGTGTAAGAGCTCAGAAACATTTCTTCTTTGATCGTGTTAACTGCGTACGTTTCAGTTGACACGTGAAGTCCTTTTGACGAATTTTCCCAATGTTTTCAGAAGCTCTTAGCCAGGATCATGTGATAAGACACATTTTCCTTTTTAAAAAACAAAAGAACTTACATGCATATGTGCATAACCAATGGACACAGACAAAATGCTGTGAAGGGGAAGAGGGTTCCGTGGGGGAGAAAGGAAAACCGTCCATAACAAAACTAAACTAATAAAAAAATATATATATATATAAATTTTTTAAAAATGAAGCTCCTGTACAGTTTAATAAAATAATTGTAAAGGAGAAAAATTAAACAGGAAAGAGACAATACCCTCAAAGTGGGTAGGCAGAGGCTCATCCTGGCCTGTCCCCTGTTCCTGTCCCCTGCCAGTCCTGCCACGGCCAAACCCCACCAGGCCCAGGGCCAGGAGGCGCCACGTCACCCCACAGGGGCCTCCCAGGCACCGAGGAGGGTGTGGGGACACCAGAGGGCTGCACCTGCCGATCACAGTGTGCACGCAGGAGCCTGGCCAATCTTCACTGCAGGGGGTCCTGCGGGGTCCCCATGGGCCAGGCACCTGATACCTGACACTTGAGAATAAGAGTCTGGGACAGGCACTCCACTCTGCCCTGGGTTCAGCATTTTGGGGAGAGGCATACAGGGCGAGAACCAGAAGGCCAGTGGCAGGCATGGGACCCAGGGAAAGTGCCCAGGCTGGGTGAGGAGGTCATGCTCACTCATCACCCTGCAGACACTCCGGCTCCGGCCTCGAGGAGCTCAGGGCTGGCCCAGCCTTTTGCTCCAGCTGCACGGGGCAGGAGGGACGGGGCCCTCCCCCCCCCCAGGTGCCCCATAAGCCAGCCCGGAAGTCCCTTGGACCCTCCTTCACCATGTGCAGCTCCTCCCCAGGCTGTCACTGCCTTCTGCCTGCATCCTGGGAGGTCGGAGGGTCACCGTTGGGGGGCGATCTCGTTGCCCCCATCTGTCCCTGTCCTGCGCTGCCACCTGGACCAAAGCAGGTCTCAAGGGCAACACCCAAGGTGTTTCCAGGGCCGGACAGCGAGTGAGGGGGGCCTGATCGGGTCCCAGACAGGGACAGAAATTTCCGACCAGGCCTCTGGGGATCCTGAGGCAGCTCCTGAGGGGTGAGAGCGAAGGACACCTGAAATACTTCTTTTCAAAGGAGCTTAGAGTGTTTGGGAAACTCTGTCTCAGGAATTGTTACCAGATGCCCACTGGTGCTGAGGCTGAAGAAAGCAGTCTCGAGTGACTTCTCGTGGAAGGGGAGGATCACCTACCGGAACACGGAGCTGCAGCTTCAGGACCCCTCCCAGGTGGAGAGGGAAATATACAAAGGTAAGGCCCGGGCTCTGGGGGTGGGTGCGGGGTGCCCCCTCACGGTCCTGCCCCCTTCAGCTCCCCCCGGTCATCGGGGCTTCTTCAGCTCCCTGGGGAGCACGCTCTCTTCCTTCTAGGAGCTTCCAGGGCGGGCGCCCCTGCCCCTCACACTGCCCCCCACCTGCCCCTAGCTCCTATTCTTTCTTTGGGTCTCGGTTTATCTCGAAGGACCCCACCCTGCGCCCCTGCGTCCTGGTCACCGCTGTCTTGAGTCACTGCTCTGACCTAACCACAGCTGGCCACCCGGTGGCCGTGTCTCCTGGCAGCTTCCCTGACGTGCAGCCCCTCCTTCCTGGAAACACAGCCACCGCCCGCCTTTGAGCTGAGTGTGTCAAAGTGTAAGATTAGTGTTAGGTAATGACAGAATGATAGGGAAAAAAGCTCAAATGCTCCTGGAGTTCACTTCCGCACCCCTGACAGGGGCCCCTGGTGGTCACCGCCCACCCGCGACACCAGAGCCTGCCCATCCCTGATCGGCATCTCCCCTTAACTACTCTGGTCTCAGCCAGGCAGGCAAAAGTGACCCTGATCGTCATAAGAATCTCCGGAGGGACAACCTCAGCTCCTTCATAAACAAAGAAGTCAGCGTCTGAGGGCGACGCCTTTGCATGACTTTCTGGGCTCAGCCCCCAGAGCACCCTGCCTCCGTAGGTTCCCTGGAGGGGTCCTGGCCCTAGTTCTAGTGTTCACCCCCAAATACAGAAGCTGCTGAGACCCTAGATTGGCAAGTTTCCTAGCTTGAAATTGCACAAACTCTGAGGCCAGCGGTGCCCACGACGGCCGTCCTGGGGCTGCCTGGCACCCTCATGTCCGGCGGTGTTCATTGACCGGCCCTGGGCTCTGGGGCAGGGCCAGGAGGGCTGTGTGCTCACCCCACGGCAGAGCTCGCTCACGCGGGTGCGTGCTTGGTCCGCGTCCTGGGGAAGGTGTGTGATAAGCAAGCTGTCGCCGAGGCCTTAGAGAACAGCATCCGGAACCCCATCTGCTGCTGGTGGGGGTGGAAGGGGGTGCGAGCCCTCTGCAAACTGGCGGTAGCTGCTCAGGCTGGAAGGTGCGCGCCCGGCACGCCTCCGAGTACCACCCAGCCAGATGTGCGCCCAAAGCCAGGTTGTAGGATGTGCCGTGGTCGCCACACACCGGGACCACCACGGTGTCCCTCAGCAGCTTCCCCTGAGCTGGTGACCAATGACCTATGTGTCCTTGTCCTGTCCTTGGCATGTGTGTTCTACATATCTTCCCCTCATCTAAACCATCCTAGGCTTCAACTTATTTCAGGGTGTTTGCAGGTCCTCTAGCTCCTGGCTTCTCTGTGTGGTTCCTGGTCAGCAGCGACATCACCTGGGGCTTTTTGGAACTGCAGAAGCTCAGGCGACAGCCCAGACCTGCCGAGTCAGAATCTGGGCGGTTACAGATCCCTGACCTGTCATATGCACTTATTTTGAGAAACCCTGGTCAGAGCAGGACCAGCTACATGATTTAAGGCGCTCGGTGTGAAATAATCATAATCAAGTCACTATTATTATACATGCGTAGGTTGGGGTATATGTTAAGTATGTAATAAATTGTATATAGTTCTCAAAAAGAAAAATTTTAAACGTCCTATAAAGATTACATGTAGAAAGGAATCCATTTTCAGATAGAATATAAGAAAAGAAATAATTTTTCCCCTTCTACTTCCCAGGAATACTTCTTTCTTTTCCTCCTTCCTTCAACACCTCTTAACCCCCGAGGGACTGCATCATAGGGTTGCTGCAAAGTATTTCCTGTCCGATGATAAACAACAAATAGTGTCCAAAGGGACAATACCTGTTATCGATGTGTCCTGCTCGCTTACATAATCTTGTTTAGCCAAGGGAATCCCACCCCGTGCGTTTCTCCGCGGTCCCTGCAGCAGACCCTGGGGTGGCTGGCAGTTGACTCTGGGATGATCCCCCTCTCGGGGGTCTGCGTAGCTCCAGACTGGCCACAGGCCTTTAGATGAACCCTGGCTTCCAGTGGACAGAAGGAGGCAGGTGGCTCTGCACTGGGTGTCCTGGGTCGCAGGGGTAGCTACGCTGCCATGAACATACCTAGCAGTGGCGTTACGTGTATGGTATTTGTCTCGTGTATGTTAGTGCGTGCATTTATGTGTATGTGTTCGTGTGTATGCATATGTATTTATGTATGTGTGTGTTAAAGAGTTGGATGGATACAAAGAGGCAGAAAACACTACTACTGCCTTGGAACACACACACTCACACACATACATATATTTATTTATATTTATATAGACCTATTTTTCCTGGTCATAGAAGTAGTACATACCTCTATTAGTTCTCTGTTGTTACGTAGCAGGTTAAAACATCAACATTTCTCCTCTCCCACAGTGTGTGGGGTCAGGAACTAGACAAGTCGGCCCCTGGCTCAGGGGTCCAGTGAGGCCGAGTCCAGCTGTCGGCTCGGGCTGACTTATCTGAAGGCCCGGCCGGGGCTGGTGACCACTGCCTCACATGGCCAGGAGGCCAGTTTCTTGCTGCAAAGATGCTTCGGTTCCCCACTTTTGTGGGCCTCTCTATAGGTACTTGGTGTTTTTATGACTGGGCACTAGACTGCCCCAGAGTGACCATCCAAGAGCAAGTCGGAGGAAGCCATTACCCTTTCATGTCCTGGTTACACTGTCGCTTCCACCATGTCTATTCCTTAGACATGAGTCCCTCTGTCCAGTCCCCACTCAAGGCTCTATCTTTTGGTGACAGGGGTGTTGAAGGATCTGTGGACATATTTTAAAGCCATCACAACACCTAGTGAAAAATATTTAAAAACGCAAAGAAAGAGAACACAACCCATCCACAACTCCAGTGTGAACACATCGGTATGTTCCCTCTAGAGTTCTGAGAGTGCGCGGGCACACTACCCTGTACACGGCCCCTCGGTGCCTCGGATCCCTGCAGGCTTCTGTGAAACGTCTCTGAGCACCGGGGACTCTGAGCGCCTGTGTTCTGCATATATATAAACAATCACCTTCAAGAACAAGTGCTTTTTCTCGGACGGGTCATTAATTTGGACACGGTTTCTCCCGCTTTAAGCCCAGAACATCATAGCCGGGAATGGAGTTGGCATTAGCCACGAGCTCATCAGCCTGGAGATCATCTCCTCCGAGGTCGTGGACCTGACCCTCATCGACCTGCCCGGCATCGCCAGGGTGGCCGTGGGAAATCAGCCCCAGGACATCGGGGTGCAGGTGAGCCTTTCTGGGGCTTGGGAATGGGCCCAGCTGAAGTGGGGAGACCCCGAGGCCTCTGCCAGTCCCCAGGGCCCGGTGGCCTCTCCAGCCCTCGCGCTGTGACTGAGCCGGGGTCTGATGCTTAGGGTGGGACCAGAGTCTGGCAGGTCATGAGGACAAGAGGACTTGACTTGGTGAGACCGGGGGTACGTGGGACGCCCCTGCCTAACATATGAGGATTTGGGTCCAGTGTTACCAGCTTCTTGTCCAAAGAAGCCAGAGATTTAGATTTTCACATGAATTCTGCCCATTTTAGCAACACTTAAAAAAATTAGCGCTACGTAAAATAATCAGAACATCATCTGTGATCTCTGGTCAGGGGCCAGAAGGCCAGCACAATGGGGAGGGAGGACAGTCACAGGTCAGCAGTGACCCAGGACACACCAAGAGCGGCTGAGCTTGTTGCTTCTTTTCCAAAGACCTTCCCACCTGCAACTGCGAAGAACACAGTCTTACTGGGATGCTTGAGTCACACCTGATCTTTGAGCAAGGCCTGTCCCCAAACTAGCCTGTCAAACTTTGCTGAACCAGCTCACAGGGAGGGTCCCAGGGACAAGGGTGGGGTCCAGGGTTTGGAAGGATAGGGTGGGAGAGGGGGAGGAAATGAGATCCTCCTATCCTGGGAACTGGGGTCACTTGCCTGCCCTCTTTGCTTTATGAGGGACACAGCCAGTGTTGGGAACCCAACCATAGCCAAAGTCGGGGTGTGGCAGGGACCTCCTGAGCGGGTTCTCCGCTGCTCTGGGCAAAATCTTGGGGAGCTAAATGTTGGTTCTTACTCAGCTCCGGAACCACCATTGCCTGTCTCCCGGAGAGGCTAATGAGCTCGTTTTCCTTACCTACCAAGTTAGCAGTTCCTGTTGCGCACTCCTCGCCCGCCAGGCGGCGCGGATTCGTCCACCCCACGCACGGACCTCCCTGGAGTCTGGGAAAGGCGCGTGGGCGGGGTCAGCGCACAGCTTCCTCCTCCCCCTCTCTGTCCTCCAAGGGAGTCCAAGGACCTGCCCCCAACACCGTGGTCTCGCACAGTTCCATCAAACACAGAGTGGCCATGATGGCCACATGTCACTGGTGCTCGAAGTATTCGAAAAATCGTGCGCCGTGACGCCAAGCCTTTCACTGCATTTCAGAGTTCTAGCGGGCTTTGTTTTTCTACCTCCTTCTGCGTCTCATTCATTGTAGGCTCAGCCCGGCCACGCACCGCGTGGGGCTGGTGAGTGACTCACAGGGAGGGAGTGACACCCGCGAACCAGAGGCTGCAGGTCACGGCCCTGGGCCCGCTGGGTACACAGAGCCCTGGCTCACGAAGTGGCAGACGCGAAACCATGGCCAAAGATCGGCAACAGCAACAAAAACCCTTTCTAGAAAAATTAATTGGGACAAAAATATGTCTTGCCCTAAGTTTTACATCCCTTTGCCTGTCTTTATTGAATTCCTGTTTAAATTATTACGACAGGAATGTGTTTTGTTATGGAAATGAACAAGCTAGACCAGGAAGGACATTATTCTGTGTCCCACCCAGGTGGCCATGCAGGTAATTTCCTGCGTGTGCCCCTGGCACCTGCTATCTGGTGACCAGTCACCATTACAAACCCCGTTGCAGTCAGACCTCGGTTCTCGACCGTCTCCCATCTCAAACATTTCGGTTCTCCACCAAGTTGTCCAGCTTCTCTTACCTCCTTCAGGGCTGCACTCAAATGCCACCTTACCAGGGAGGCCCTTCCTGATGCCTGGCACCCGTGCCTGGCCCTCTGACTTCACTCGCCTTCCTTATGGAGCGGGTATGCCCATGTTTCCGGCGGAGACAGAGCCCCTCGGGGACACTGCCTCAATGCTGACTCTCTAGATCCCAGACGGGCTCAGTATCTGGGGGCCCCATAACCATTTGTCGCATGAATAGAAATTCGGTGTTTGAAGACTTATGTTGCCCACATCTCTCTTTTGCTTAAAATTTCTAAGAAATTGTATTGTATTTCTCTAATTCGAATGAGCTAGACCCCTCCGAGAACAAACCGCAGAGTCATCAGTGTTAGGTATGAGCACATGTAGGGACATTGTGAGATAACTGCTGTGAGCGGCCACCGTGCCTGCCACCGAGCGTGCTGTGCTGGACTGGACTCTGCACAGTGTCACAAGTCACCCCAAGGGCCCCCGGGCTTCTGGGGCAGGTACGACACCAGCACACATCATGCTGATGGAGTAATAATAGTCTCAGAAGCCGCCGGGAGAGACCTGGAGAGGAAGGGGGGTTGCTTCTGGCTACAGCAGCCAGTCCTCGGGAGAGAAGCTATACCAGGGGTGGGCTTTCAGGAGTAGGTAGGACGTCAGCAGAGAATTCCATAAGGCCAGGTAGGGTGGACATCAAAGGAAGGGCACAGGCCTCGCCACAGCTCCACAGTGTGAAAACTGGGTCGTGCTCTAGGACAACACTGGTTTTCACAATGACGGGGTCTCACTGTGTTGTTGGGTAACCAGAGATGTGTTCTTCCTTGTGTGATTCTTTGGCATCAGATCAAGGCGCTCATCAAGAAGTACATCCAAAGACAAGAGACCATCAACTTGGTGGTGGCCCCCTGTAATGTGGACATCGCCACCACGGAGGCATTGAGCATGGCTCAGGAGGTGGACCCTGATGGAGACAGGACCATAGGTGAGAAGAAAGGATCAACTTCCAGAAGATGGGAAGGGAGGGGGAGGTCCTCATACCTGTAGAAGGCCCTGGAATTAGGTCCACTATTGAGTCCCCATCCTGCGCTAGGTTCATGTGCTCTTCCCGCAGATGCCCCGCGGGCTCGGGGGGCTCAGGGTGCACTCCTGTAGATGCCCCGCGGGCTCAGGGTGCTCGGGGCGCACTCCTGCAGATGCCCCACGGGCTCAGGGGGCTCAGGGTGCACTCCTGCAGATGCCCCGTGGGCTCAGGGTGCTCAGGGTGCACTCCCGGATGCCTCGTGGGCTCAGGGTGCTCAGGGTGCACTCCTGTAGATGCCCCGCAGGCTCAGGGTGCTCAGAGTGCACTCCTGCAGATGCCCTATGGACTCAGGGTGGACTCCCCGGATGCCCTGCAGGCTCGGGGTGGGGGGGGCTCAGGGTACACTCCCACGGATACCCCGCGGGCTCAGGGTGCTCAGAGTGCACTCCTGCAGATGCCCTGTGGACTCAGGGTGGACTCCCACAGATGCCCTGCGGTCTCAGGGTGCACTCCTGTACCACAGAGGGTCATCTTCACTCAGTCAGATGTGGTTCTTCACCCTCCTTCTCATCCCTCATTTGCGTTCATGAACCACTCTGGATGGGGGATGGATGCCTTATATGTTCTCCCACAATGGCCCGGAAAGGAGAACGTGACCTGTCCATCGGTTCTGCCATAACACAGTGACGTTCTTAGGACTCCTGGGTGCCTAAGAGAGAACTTCTCAAAACCTCAGTGAACGCACGACCAGGGTAACATTGGAGGGTTTATAATCAAGCAGAAGACTTTGTGGGAAACTGGGTTCTCTTACATTTTCTTTTTATTTAAATGTCACCCTAGACGGCATTATAGGGACTTGGTTTAAGAGCACAGACAGCCTGGGTTTGAATCCTCATTCTGCCACTTACTGGCTCCACCTCCTCGGGCAATACATCTACCCTCTCCTGCCCTCCATTCGTCATCTGTAAAATGGTGTAACAAGTGACAGTCACCGGCTAGGGTTGTTGGGGGGACTCCGTGAAGAGTTATTGTGTGCACCAAGTCTTTCCTCAGCAAGAGAGCTGCTATTTTTTTTTTATCCTCACCCGAGGATATTTTTCCATTTTTTGTACAGATAGAGTGGGAGGGAGAGAGAGGAAGGGAGAGAGAGAGAGAAACATCGACGTGAAAGGACACATCGAGTGGCTGCCACCCGCACGACCAACCAGGGCCGGGGACAAACTGCAACCGAAGTATGTGCCCTTAGCGGGAACCGAACCCGGGTCTCTCCGGACCACAGGCCGACGCTCTAACCGCTGAGCCAAACTGGCCAGGGCAAGAGAGCTGCTATTTTTTTAAGTATTATTATTCGTGACCACTTCAGCCGTCATTCCGCTTACCCACAGAGCTTGCCTTCCTGACACAGGGCAGCCACCCCCGCGCCTAAATGACGACAGTGTAGCATTGCCTTTTCCGTGTCTTCCCAGGCAAGTGCCTGGTTTTCTAGTAAGAACAGAAATACATATTGGGAATGCACTTCAGGTACAATGTTTTACCACATGTGAATGATGACCTGTGCGTTTCAAATGCACCGCACCAGGGAGACTCTCAGACCTTGGATCACCAGTCCTTGTCAGTCATAATCATCAGGGATGTCTCATTGGTGGCCAAAGTAGGTACCATCCTCTGTTCGATGGATAAATCTATTTGGATATTATCTCTACAGCAATTTAATGACACTCTTAATGTTTTATGATCCTCTCATTAGCTCTATATTCAAATAACCAAAATTCCCACAAAATAGTAGCTATGACTATTATTATGAATTCAGCCAAGTACTATAGTTACAGAGTATACATAATAAGAGCTGCGTGGCCTACAACATTATAACATCGATGCAAATTTTCTGTTCTCTTCAGTCTCGGTCAAGTATAGAAATAGAGAAAAGTGTACTAGATTTAACAAGGAAAGGGTATGCTCACCCATGTATGTAGCAGCATTATTCACAATAGTCAAAAGGTAAAAGCAAACCAAGTGTCTATCAAGAAATGAGCGGAGCCCTGGCCAGTTTGGCTCAGTGGTTAGAGTGTTGACCCTCGGCCAGAAGGGTCTCGGGTTTGATTCCAGTCAAGGGCATGCAGCTGGGTTGTAGGTTCGATCCCCAGGCCCAGCTGGGGTTGTGCAGGAGGCAACCAATTGATGTGTGTCCCTCACATCGATGTTTCTCTCTGTCTCTCTCTCCCTCCCTGTATCCCTTCCATTCTATCTAAAAATCAATGGAAAAAATATCCTCGGATGAGAATTTTAGAAAGAGAGAGAGAGAGAGAGATGAGTGGATAGCCCAGCCAGTGTGGTTCAGTTAATTGAGCATCATCCCATGCACCAGGAGGTCACCAGTTCAATTCCAGGTCAGGGCTCATGCCTGGGTTGTAGGCTCAATCCCTGCTAGGGAGTATGCAGGAGACGGCTGATTGATGATTCTCTTTCATCAACGTTTTGATCTCTCTCTCCTTTTCTCTCTCTGAAATCAATAAAAACATTTAAAAAAAAAAAAGATGAGTAGATAAGCAAAATGTGGTGTATGAACACAGTGGAGTATTATTCAGCCTTAGGAAGAGGGACATTCTGCCTCCTGCTCCAACATGGATGCACCTTGAGGACATGATGCTCAGTAAAATAAGCTGGTCACAAAAGGACAGATTCTGTGTGATTCCAGTTATGTGAGATCCCGAGAGTAATCAAATTCACAGAGACAGACAGCAGAGCAGTGGTCAGGGCCCGGGGAGAGGGAACGGAGTTAACGAATGGGCATCGCTTCAGCTTTGCAAGTTGGAGAAAGTCCTGGGGTGGGTGTGGTGATGACCGTGCAACAGTGCGCACGTGCTCAGTGCCACCAAGCGGACACCTCAACATGACTAGAATAGTGAATTTTATATTTTACCACCGTGTTTAAAAAAGTAATTTTTTCAAACAGGGTAACTGAGGGTGGAGTGAAGGGAGAAATATTATATTTTATTAGCTGTGTTATTCTCTTTTACACATGAGTTATGTTTATTTTACCACAATCTTAAAAAAGGAAACGGAATGAATATTTATATAGAACTTCCAAAGGTAGAAAATAGAACACATTGGGTGAATAATGTGGTAGTGGTCTACATAGTACCAAGTTTCAGAGCAATGAGTCAAACATCTGCAGACTCTTTGCTAACAGACTCCCCGTCCATCCATGACTAACTGCACTGTGTCTATTCAACCAGCTCCACCTGAACCTCTGGCCCCGCCATGTGACAGATGGCTTTTAGCAAGGTCACCAGTGCCTCCACGCTGACAACCCACCGTCACTTCTCTGGTCTCACCCTTCTGAACCTCTCTGCCACCCCCGCCCTCCTTGAACTCCTTCCTGCCTTCACAGTGACGTCACGGCCTGCTGGCTTCTGCTTCTCCGTCTCTCCCTGGGGTCTCCTCCCCCACTGGCCAGCTGCGGGTCACCTTCTGAGTCTCCTTGTCGGGTTGCTTCTTCAATTCTCCGACCTCTGAATTCTGGAAACCAGAGCTCGGTTCGGAGCGCTTCCCTCTGTCAACACATTCTCTTTCAGTGGTCTTACCTGGCCATGGCTTTGAATCCCATCTGCTTGCCAATGACTCCCAAATCTTTGTCTATAACACCTACCTTTCCCGGGACATGACATCCCCACTTGGATGTCCATTAAATGGCCAAACGCTACATGGCATGACCAAAGCACAGATCCTGATACCCCCACACCTACTCCCCCCCCCCCCCCGAGGCTTGCCCACCTCTCCACAGCCCCAGTTCCACCTACCTGGTCTAAGGCTCAGTCTAAGAGTCACCCTTGAATCCCCCTTCTCCTTGCTTCCGTGTCTAATTCCTCTGAAGTCCTGGCGACGCTGCCTCCAGAACTAATACCAAACCCATCCGCTCCTCTGCATCCCACAGTCACTGCCTAGACCAAGCCTCCATCACCTCCTGCCTGGGCCACTCAAACTCGCTCTGGTGTCCTCGCATCCCCCCGCCCACCGCCGCCCACTGTCCCCTGGGTTTCAGCCGTGTAAAGCAGGTCCTGCCCCTCCTCTGTTTCCACTCTCTAGTGCTCCCGCCTTTCGTATTTAAACCCCAGACCGCTTTGCCTGGACCACAAAGCCATCTGTGACCTGGCTTCCGCATGTCTCTTGTGTCATGGTCCCCGTCGCTCTCTAGCTGGCCCATGGCTCTCTAGTAATAGCTCGGGCACCTCAGCTCCCTCTCACCCAGGGCCCTGCTCCTTCCTCTCATTCAGCTCGCAGCCCAAACCTTGCCTTCTCAGAAGGCCTCGTTCTACCCCCAGCCTCAACCCGTCCAGCCACGCTGCCCATAGTCAGTTCTTCCCCTTTATTTTGATTCTCTGCATAGCAGTTCTCAATACTAGATGTCTTTGTTTATTTCTTGTATACTGCTAGATTAATTTATCTAGCTTTTCCCCGCTAGAAGTTGGAGGGATGTCAGTGAAATCAGGGAGATTTTGCAGCCCTGGTCACCGACGCCTTCCCAGCGGCTGCAGCAGTGTGCTGAGCAAGCATCTGTGGATGTGACATGCCTGTGTAATGGACTCAGGAATAAACACACTTGAAAAGAGAGAGAAAAATTACAGCATCTAAAAACTGCTGACAGTGCCCTGCTGTGGCCCAATAGCTGGGTCATTAAATGGTGCTTACGAGCCCACGGATCCTCTGTTTCACACTGAGGTGCAGCGTGAGAAGACTCGCAGGCCAGGGGGGATTCTAATTGCCCTCCTCAGAATTGATTATCTTACTTCCTGTGTTCTCAGAATAAAGTACAATGATCTAGGCTTCCAGGAAGGGTTGCTGGCTCCAGGGAAGGGCATTCCTGGTGGCAATCTCCTCTCCCGGGGGGACGGCCCCTCCTTGACCCATGGAAGGTGCAAACGGAGATTCTGACAAGTCTCGGCTCTGTTAGTAACAGGAGCGAGTCTAAGGCTATGCTCTTAAATGACACCTTCTGGTGATAACACACAGAGAGAAATTCAACTGCCTAAGTGCCAGGAAAGCTTCTTAGAAACCTGGTGATGGAACTGGCCACTTGTGATGGAGCCTGCTGCCCGGGGCTGGCACACGCGGGCACCCAACACACCTTTGTTAAGCATATGACCCGAGGCAGTCAGTGAGCTGAGTGACTGGGGAAGCACATCTAAGGGGTGACAATGGATGAGTGAGTGGCTGCCAGGCACTGGATCATTAAGGCTGCAGAAGGCTTTTTTGTCCTGGCCAAGAAAGGACCTCATTAGCCCAGCAGGGCTGACATATCTGAGAAGAGAACCGACCTTTCTGTGCCCCTCTCATCATCTCGCAGGGATCCTGACCAAACCGGACCTGGTGGACAAGGGCACCGAAAAAAACATCGTCAGCGTGGTGCAGAACCTCACGTACCGTCTCAAGAAGGGCTACATGATAGTGAAGTGCCGGGGCCAGCAGGAGATTACAAACAAGCTGAGCCTGGCCGAAGCCACCAAGAAAGAAATAGAATTCTTCCAGACACATCCGTATTTCAGGTGAGCAGGACAGCCCTAGAGCTGCACTCCAAGGAAGCCAGCCCCACCGACCAGAACGGGCCAAGACGGGCCAAGACGATAACCAAGTTGCATGTGAAAATTAGACAATGTAGCAGAACCTGTCATTGACTTGACTCCAGTGTTAAATTCATTGGCTCATTGATTTATTCATGGGCTCTAGTGATGGTGCTGATTACAAAGTGTTAATATGGCGTAAGGCACTTTGGTTTTCCAAAATGTTCTCACTTGCTTTCTCATTTGCGTCTTACAAAATCTTAAGAGATACATACAGCCAGCGAGGTTCTTCCCGCTTCCATAGTTAGGATAAGGAGGTCAAAGCAGTAGTGAGTGGAAGCAGGGCTGGGAACAGATCTAGCTTCCAGAAACCGTTGTTGGCCATCATGAATGGTGCACGTTAAGCCCGGCCGGTGTGGCTCAGTGGGCTGAGCATCGTCCCCTGGACTGAGGTCCCGGTTCGAATCCTGGTCAGGGTACGTGCCCACTCACAGCTTGTGTAAGTCTTACTTATGTGGAATCAGGCAGTATTTGTCCTGTGACTGGCTTCTGTCACTTAGCATAATGTCCTCAAGGCTCATTTGTGTGGTCACATATGACAGGAGTTTCTTCTGTTTTAAGGCCGAATCACATCCCATTGCATTGTTAAAATCGAACGCAAACAGAGGCCAGACTTGGAAATTCCCTGAGCAGACAAAACCAGATTGGTCACACAGGCAAAGCTCAGCTTAGCTTACTTCACAAGACAAGCAAGTGTCCGCCAGAGCGTTCCTCTCGCTTATGCTTCTGAAAGCCGTAAACAACTTAAATTGTTCCCCCAAGTTGATGACGTAACCACCAGCCAACTTCCTAATATTTGAGAACATTCTAATACTAGAACCAATCACCATGAAGAAGGAACTATTGCTGCTTTCTCAGTACACACTGCTTTATAACGTGTTCCTGAATCTCACTCGTGTTTGGGTTCGAGTGTTCCTGGATTTCAAACTCTCTCTGTGTACACAGTGCGCTCTGCTGATTGCTACCTCGGTGAGTCACTGGTTTTGCTTCTGTTTCTTTCTGACCTTTCGACAGCATGTAGAAACCATGTTTGCTTTATCCCTTCATCTGCTCATGGACATGTAGGTTATTTCCACAACTTGGCTCTTGTGAATAGTACTGCTGAGAACATAGGCATGCCGTCTCTTTGAGATCTTGGTTTTAATGCTTTTGGATAAATGTGCATAAGTGCGATTGCTTCTTAGACCATAGGGTGTGTTAGAAATTTAGCAGCCGCCGCGAAGGGAAAATGAACCAGAGAGGCCAATAAATTAGATAAAAACAGGTTCAGGTTTATTGGGTACACTCCGGGCGGGTTCACCGACTCGGGGGACAGGAGTCCGAGAAGCCGCGCCCGATGCTGGGGTTTGTGTCTTTTATATCTGCCCGTTGCAGCTGGGATTTGTCCGTAAGGGTTTGGCCCTGCGGGGGCTATGCATGGAGCCTCTGGAATGTGAGTCGATAGGAGCAGGATGGGAGTTAGTCTACAAGCCCGGGGCAGGCCGTTCCCGTAACAGGGTGGGAGGCAAGGCTGAGCTAGCAAAACCACGGTCGAGCACTTTGCCTGGCGCCAGTCCCCAGGCTATCGGACAGGGTGGTTCTAAATTTAATTTTTAAAGAAATTCCCATGCTGCTTTTCATAGTGGCCGCACCATTCTGCAGTCCCATCAATATTGTACAAGGGTTCCAATTGTTCCCCGTCCTCGTCACCACCTCTCTTTTGTGTGTTTTTGACAACATCCAGATGTGATATCCCATTGTGGTTTCGATTTGCCTTTTCCTGATGATTAGTGGTGTTGACCATCTTCCATACACCTGTTGACCATCTGCATTTCTTTGAAGGAATCGCTATCCAACTCTTTTGCACATTTTTTAATTGGGTTATTAGTTTTTTACTGGGGAGGGGTTGCTATTGAGTTGTAGGAGTTACTTACATATTTTGAAAATTAACCCCTGATCAGATACGTCGTTTGCAAATATTTTCTCCCATTTTGTAGGTTCTCTATGGATTGTTTCTTTGCTATGCAGCAGCTTTTCAGTTTGATGTAGTCCTGCTTTAGTCTATTTTTGCTTTTCTTGTCTGTACTTTTAGTAAAATTATTTCCAAGATCAATATCATAAAGATTTTCCCCTGTGCTTTTTTCTAGGAGTTTTACATTTCATGTCTTAATGTTTAAGTCTTCAATACATTTTCAGTTGACTTTTGTGTATGGTATGAGAGAATTCTATTTCATTCTTTTGCATGTAGATATATAGTTTTCCCAGCATCATTTGTTGAAGAGATTATCCTTTCTACATTGTGCATTCTTGGCACTGTCATTGAAAATCAGTCGACCTATATGTATGGGTTTATTTCTGGGTTCTCTATTCTGTACATGTCTAGCTTTAAACTAGTACCACACTGTTTCATAACAGTGAACTGTAGCTTTGTAATATATTTTCAGATTAGGAAGTGTGATGCTTCTTGCTTTAGTCTTTCTTTCTCAAGACTGATTTGGCTATTCAGGGGTAAATATTCATTATAAGAAATAAAATACTAGTTTGGACAAGTCACTAAACTTCTATGAAGGTAGGTTTGCTTTGTTTTCCTGTAAATAGAGAGATCACGGACTTCATCAGTTTGTTGGGATGATGAAAGGAGAACATGAATGTAACCGTCCTAGCACCAAGCCTGCCTGGGCATAGGCTCATCCCATGATTAGTCATTGTCTTTCTCATACACTGCTAGGCTTTTCTGATGCCACGTGTCACCCCAGGGAGCTGAGCTCACCTGCCCACTTACAAAGCCCAGTCCTGGGGAAAGAACCACGTGGGCCTGCCCTGAATTCACGCGCACTCTCTTATTTCAGGGGCCTCCTGGAGGAAGGAAAGGCTTCGGTGCCCCGTCTGGCAGAAAGACTCACCTCTGAGCTCATCTCGCACATCAATGTGAGTCCAGGGCTGGCTGCAGGTTATAGAAATTGCAACCTGCTTCAGTCACTCTCAGTCATGAGTGGGCTAAGACACCACCTTGAACTGCCCAAATAAGCAAACAAACAAGCACATTCTGAAAGCCAAATTGCTCGTGGTCAGGGGCTCAGGAGAGCTGTATAATCTTGGAGCAAAAATCAGTCGGTTTGGGGGAAGCAGAAAGAGAAACCATAAAACCAGTTCAGCAGTGTGAAAGGAATGAACACCAAGTTTGTAAATGTTTCTCCTTTCAATAGGCTCTTCACACTCCACAGCATATAAAACATTTTCCCAGCCTCGAACTTGTAAGAAACATGTGTTCAGTTTTCACTGATGCCCAACTGTAGGCACACTTCATAATGTCATTAAAGATGGTACATGTGTGGCTTAGTGCTCCCTGAGACATAGAATATCTGTAGGGCTTGCCTGGACCTTTGGACATGGAGTTGAACAATATGCTGAGACCAAAGGTTAACCCTTAGAGCAAAGATGATCCCAGGCCTGGGTTTTAGTCCATGCTACATTGCATGTCAGGCAAAAACAATGAACACTTTTGAGCCAAGAAACACATACCCAAAACGTATTCAATTGGTCCTGGCCGGGAGGCTCAGTTGGTTGGAGCGTCATCCCATACACTGAAAGGTTGTGTATTCGATCCTCGGTCAGGGCACATACCTAGGTTATGGATTCAATCTCTGGTCAGGGTGTGTATGGGAGGCAACCAACTGATCTTTCTCTCTCACCATCCATGTTTTTCTCTCTTTCTCTCTCCATCCACTTTCTCTCTCTCTAAAAAGTCTATTTAGCCCTGGTCAGTTGGCTCAGCGGTTGGAGCATCGGCCTGTGGTCCAGAGAGACCCGGGTTTGGTTCCCGCTAAGGGCATGTACCTTGGTTGCAGTTTGTCCCTGGCCCTGGTTGGTCGTGCGGGAGGCAGCCACTCGATGTGTCCCTTTCACGTTGATGTTTCTCTCCCTCTCTCTCTCTCTCTCTTCCTCTCTGTCCCTCCCACTCTATCTGAACAAAAAATGGAAAAATGTCCTCAGATGAGGATAAAAAATAAATAAATTAATAAATTAATAAATTAAAAATAAATAAAAAACATATCTTTGGGTGAGGATTAATAAATAAAGAACATATTTGGTTAGAAGGAGGCAGTGATTCTGAAACTAGGGCACACAAGAATCACCTGGAAATTTTGTTAAAACTTATGTTCTTGGGCCCCAGACTCAGAATTTCTGAGTTAGCAGGTCTGGGTTGGGGCCCACAGATGTGCACTTGTGAGTCCCCTGGTGCCCTAGGGAACACACTTTGAGAAGTACCAATTCTAGTGCAATCTCCTCAGTTTGCATGAAGAGGTTCCAGAAGATACAACCATGTCTAATTGAAAAAAATTCTTTTTTGCAAAAAGATATTGTATTTTGATAACCTTTCTTTCTATGACTCTTCATCCAAGGATATTTTCCCATTGGTATTTAGATAGAGTGGAAGGGAGGGAGGGAGAGAGAGAGAAACATCAGTGTGAGAGAGACACAGCGATTGGTTACCTCCTGAACAACCCTGACAGGAGCTGGGGATCGAACCTCCAACCCAGTACGTGCCCTTGACTAGGAATTGAGCTAAACTGGCCAGGACTTGATAACTTTTTTGATACCACATTTCTCAACATTTAAATTTTTTATATTAAAATTTGAATTTAAAATTTGCAATACTTTAAATTAATTTTTAAATTTTTTATCAAGACTCAATCATGGTAATTATAATTTGAAATATCAAAAACAAAGAGCCTGTGAGACCTTATTAACTCCTTGGTGTCACCCACCGGTACTGTCATTTTACGTAGCCATGGCAACTGCTGGGCTGGCTGCAGTGACCTCGGGCACCGGAACAGGAGTCGGGCCACTGCTCATCAGGTGTCTTTACCTGCAGTGTTCACCTGCACAGGACTCTGCCACTTCCTGGCTCGGCGATGATGTCAAGCTGTTTGGCTCTCTGAGCCTCGGTCCCTCTCTTGTAAAAGGAGGCACTATATTCCTGTGTGGCCTGAGACGTTGGAGGGCTCGGGACGGTGCGGCCCAGAGGCAGCCCTCCGTGGTCTCCTACAAAGGTCCTTTCTTCTCCTCGTCTTTGTTCTCATCTTTGGCATCCCTGATTGGTGAGGCCTGTACCCAGCCTGACACCAGCACCCACGACATATCTTCTAGCAAAGCACCATTGATCAGTTTATAGCCTTCAAATGATCACCAGCAGAACATTTTACTAAAGAAAGCTAACGTTATATTCAAGTGCGATTGTTCTCGAAATACAGAACACTTACCCAAACCAAACCAAACCCCCAAACTGTCCATCGCTCAATTCCTCGGCACTGCAGGGGCTCACAGAGCTGCAGAAGTACCGCGCAGACACCCAGGCTGGCCTCCGCCACAGGCCTCCATCTCCGCAGGCCTCACACAGTGATGGCAAGTCCGAACCCTCGCACCTTCCAGTGGGATTCTGCTCATGTGCCCAAGAAATCTGTCCACTAATCACACGCTGCAGAGTTTCATTGTCTGCTATTATTTTGTTCAGAAATCACTCCCGTTATTAGAAAGTCAAATAAAGGAGAACCACCAGAGGGCGATAGAGGAGCTGCGCCAGTGCGGGGAGAGCATCCCCAACAACGACTCCGATAAAATGTTCTTTCTGATTGAGGTGAGGATTCCGGGGACTCCACACGACGCTTGGGCACACAAACTGGCCTCTCCTGTAGATGGCTGCCTCCTCCAGGTGGCCCAGCACGTCTCGAGGCGGCCGCTGTGCTTCCCCGCCTGTGTTCGGCCTTCCATGGCCACTAGGGGGAGCGGCGGTGGTGGTGGTGGGGTGGTGGTGGTGGTGGTGGTGGTGGTGGCGGTGGTGGTAGGGGGTGATGGACCTCCCAGCCCCCACACCGCACTGCTTCCCCCACCCCGCTCCTCAGTGTGATTACAGCACAGGTGAATGACTTTACCTTCTTTTCAGAAAATTAAAATGTTTAATCAGGACATTGAAAAGTTAGTCGGAGGAGAAGAAGTCGTAAAGGAGAAAGAGATCCGCTTATACAACAAACTCAGGGAGGAGTTTAAAAAGTGGGTACTCGTGCTTGAAGAGAACACCCAAAAAGGTAAGTCCTGGGACATGGCCACCTCTAAAAGTAGTGTCCTATTTACGGAGGCCAGAAGCTACTTCCGGCGCCTACAACGTGTGCAAAGAGCTAGCGTGCCCACGCAAGAGACCCTGGGCCTGTAGTCATCCAGAGCAGCTCCCCCGTGGCCATCAGCTTGGGGTTCTGCCCTCACCAACTCGACAGAAGACACCTCCACAGCCCAGCCTTCTCCCATCTTTATTTCAAGGCTAGACAATCCCACTTACCCCAATGTATTTTCGTGGAACCGATTGGATTACTTTCTGTTAACTAGACACACTCATCTTCTCTCAGGGTGATGCCTCTCCATTGAAACACATTTTTTTAAAGTAAGATTTTGTTTCTTAAAAGTCACTGCCTGACCATTTTATATTTGTTTGCTTGTTTCATTATAAAAAGAACTCCATTTAGTATCACCTTAGGGTACATACAGTGGGGAAGCAAGACTTAAAAAAAAAAATGTTTTTATCTTCAAAATGTCTGTGGTTTGTTTTATGTTGCAGTTAATAGTGTTATTCATGAAGAAGTCTCGAAATATGAAAGTCAGTATCGTGGCAAAGAGCTTCTTGGATTTATCAACTACAAGACATTCGAGACCATAGTGCAGCAGTACATCGAGCAGCTGGTAGACCCCGCCCTGAACATGCTCCAGAGGTCTGTCGGTGAGCATCTCTCCTGAGTGACTCTCCAGTGCCTCCCAGCACCTTCCACAGGCCTCAACATCTTGGAGGGAGAGGTTGGAAGGGGATCATCAAACACAGCCTGCAGATCTTTGCCCGTTTGGGGGAGGAGGGCAAGAATACACGTGCACTTCATCACGTCAGACCGAACCCCCACCCAGCTGTGAGGCAGTCAGCTCCTAACCCCGGGAGATCACACACTCCATGCAAGGACAGGAGATTGATGGGACCTGCTCAGGGTGGGTGGTAATGACACATTTTGTGTCTCCCCGGAACTATGTACCATCCCTTCCTTGTCTCTTGGTCTGTAAATTTGGGGAGCACAGCCTGAGAATAGGGTTGTGTACCATGATTTCTCCTCCCTGTGTCTTTTTTTTTTAATCCTCACCTGAGGATATTTTTCTGTTTATCTTCAGATAGAGTGTGAGGGAGGGAGAGAGAGAGAAACATCTCAGAGAGGGACACATTGACTGGTTGCCTCCCGCACAACCCTGACCGGGGCGGGGGACAAACCACAACCGAGGTATATGCCCTTGGCCAGAATCGAATCCGAGATTCACTGGTCCGCGGACCGACGCTCTAACTGCTGAGCCAAACCTGCCTGGGCTCCTCTCTGTGCCTTTAAGCCAGTTTATTCCTGCTTGAGTGTTACTGACGCTTGGTTTTTCCTTTGGTCAGAAACTATCCGGCAAACTTTCGTTGACACAGCCAAAACACATTTTGAAGAGTTTTTCAACCTTAATCAGATAGCCCAGGTAAGTCCCACCGCTCACCTGCCGGTCGCCTGTATTGAGTTACCCGGTGTAACCTTTGAAAGAAGGTGGACACGTCCTGCCGTTGGGAACGCGAGGCCAGGGTGTAACCGCAGGTGTGCGGGCTGGCCGCCGCTCTCCGGCTTCTGCTCGGGAGTGGGTGGGCTCTCCTGGGAGGAGAGAGACCGGCGCGTGACCTCGTTCTGTCTTAACCCCTGCCGCTTCACAGGACGGACCCGAACACGTGACTGTCCCTTTGACTTGGTGGCATTTTGGATCTTTTTCCTACACAAAAGACAGCAATGTCTACTAGTCCTTATCCAAAATCTTTATTAGCTTGACTTAAAATTATTGCCACAGAAGTGTGGGTGTCCACTTAGCAACTTAGCACTCTCCCCGAATCTCGCTCAGGAAAGGGAAGAGAAGAGTTCTAGATAAACTCCTCTGCCCAGGCCCGGGCTGTGGGTCGGAACCTCCCTCCACCATCTCCTTCGGATGAGCAAGGAAAAGGATCGCTGTCGTTTCCCCATAACACCACTGAGTTTCTCCTTTCGCCTCTGTTGCCGTGGTGAAAACGAAAACTTTCCCAGAGGCTGGGCGCCTGGCCACGGGGTGGCGACATGCCTGGTACTTGATGGTCAGGTCTCCCTGCTGGCAGCTTCCAAGATGTACGCTCCTTGCGGGCCTCAGAGGTGGGTCCCCTGTGATCCCAATGGCTGGGCTGGTTCTCCTGAGCTCTTCCAGGTCGTCCAGGGCACGGGAGCACCCACTGGCCAGCTGGGGTACGGAAACCCCAGCCCCCTCCAGGGCCTCTCCCTCGGTGCCGTCCTCGGGTGGATAGCTACGACATGTCCCCGGAGCTCCCTGTGCCATGGGGGCTCTCCGAGGCCACCAGCCAGCCCCCTCCAGGGCCTCTCCCTCGGTGCCGTCCTCGGGGGGATAGCTACGACATGTCACCGGAGCTCCCTGTGCCATGGGGCCTCTCCCAGCTCTCCGAGGCCACCAGCCCCACAGTCCCTCCGCCATTGCACTGTTCTTCCTGAGCCTCGTCAGAGCCAGGAGGCCTGTCACCTCCCATGTGGCTCCCCTTGGGAGTGATCCACAGGCCATTTCTACTCTCAGGCCCCCAAACGGCGAGGGGGTATGAAACACATTTGCCGTCTACACTCCAAAGAAAGAGGAACCAGCTGCTGTGAAACTCACATGTTCTCGTTCTCTCTCTCTGTTTCTCTCTCTCAGATCAGCCTCTGCCTTCAATGTACAAAAGTCTGTTTAAAACGCAAAAGCCGCCCTGGCCAGCTTGGCTCAGCGGTTAAAGCGTCGGCCTGCGGTCCGGAGAGACCCGGGTTCGGTTCCCGCTAAGGGCACATACTTCGGTTGCAGTTTGTCCCCGGCCCTGGTTGGTCGTGCGGGTGGCAGCCACTCGATGTGTCCCTTTCACGTCGATGTTTCTCTCTCTCTCTCTCCCTCCCACTCTATCTGTACAAAAAATGGAAAAATATCCTCGGGTGAGGATAAAAAACAAACAAACAAACAAACAAAAAAACTCAAAAGCCAAGAAGTGACTTTTCTCCACTATGCCATCCATTCCTTTCCCACAATGCCTTTGATTGGCTGGGTGACGCAAACATAGACATCAAGCTGTGTTATTGGCACTGGGGTCATTCTTGAAAGCTTGGCTTCAAGCCGCCTAGAGAGACAGGAGCGGTGGACATGCAAGTGTAAACTGAGCCACAGCCGAGGAAGCAGAAAGGGGGTGATGTGAGCAGATGGAGGTCACGACAGGGAAGGCCTGGGTGGCGACAGGTGGGGTGCACACGGGCAAGGGGCAGGAGAACAAAACAGGAGCGGTGAGGACAGCGCAAAGGGCAGAGTGGGGACTTCTGAAAGTCATCATTTAAAGTCTAGGCCTCCTCTGCCCTTAAATTATTTTCAACTCTGTTCACCAGCCTATCTTTCCCGAGTTGTTTAAACAACAGGGTAGCAGAAAAAGCAGTGACATGCTTCTCTTTCTGACCCGGCCAGAACAAGATTGAAGACATCAAAGCAGAACAAGCAGGAACGGCTGAAAGGCTGATCCGCCTGCAGTTCCGGATGGAGCAGCTGGTTTACTGCCAAGACCAGCTGTACAGCGCGCTTCTGCAGAACGTGCGGGAAAACAGCGCTGGCCAGTTCGGAAGCGTTTTTCAGAAGAATCCGGTGCAGATGCCTTTTTCAAAGGATGTGTCTGCCGTGTCCTCCGTCACTGAGATCGGGATGCACCTAAATGCGTACTTCTCGGTGAGTGTGGGTGGGCGTGCACGGCCTGGGCTGGAGCGTCCTGATTAAGGGGTGCTTAACTGAGCACAGAAGGGAGGGACCGCGACTGGGTATTCAACCCTTTCTGTTCCGAGAAACTGCTCATCGATGATCTCATCTATAACTTGACAGGTTATTAACACATGTTTTAATGAATTTGCCGCAAATTAGGTTCTTCATGTGGCACAGCATGTGCTCCAAAGTAATTCCAACCCCAAAGTTCTTTATAGTTTATGCTATGCATGAAGTACAAAATTACTATTATCAGAGTACAGCAACAGACAATGAAAATACAACTAACCTTACTGGTCATAATTTAGCTTTCCTTGATGCTTAGAAGGTGTTCAGCTCTTGAAATGCTTGAAATTCACCAACTTCACAAAACAGGAATGACATTCCTTTCCCTAGATTTTGTGACTCAATCAACTTCACGGTTTCTAACCCTCCCCTCCCCTCTCCCACCCATGGACTGAAGCAGCAATTTTCCACCTGTATGCCACAGGAATCTTTAAAACATACAATACCTGCCTACTTAGTCAGGGGCACTGACCTCTTTCCTCTTAGATTGTCCGAATAAAAAATGACAACAGCCAATACAACATTAGCTGTCTGCTGTGAATGAATCAAAATTTTTTATATATACATTTTTTTTGCCAGATCAGCAAAAAACATATTTTTGACGTGTGGCAGACTTTTAGTCATTAGCTTGTGTGTGGCACGAGAGAGAAAGGTGGAAAATCCGTGGACTGAAGGGTTCGAGCATTCAGAAAGGAAGGCAGTTTTTAAAATGCAAAGAAGCCCAACAACTGAAGCCTTTTTCTTAAGCAGAATACAAAACGGAGTTGCCCAGATGTGGCGTCCAGCTGCTAGGCACACTGGGTCTGCCTATGAGGCGAGGCCTGAAGCAGGACCTGGCTGCTCCCAGGACCGAGCCGGGGGACACAGGGCCAGGTCTTCGTGGAGATGGAGCGGGGTCGGGGGAGAACCTCCTGGGAAGGCTGGGATGCCCATAATGTGCTTTGGGTTTGCTAGCCTGCTGGGTGGGTTCTTAGTGCCGGAGGGAATACCTAGGTAATAAAACTGGGCAGCCCAGACAGAAGCTTCTCCTGGTTTGATACTAAACACTGGAGCAGGGCGGATGGGACCACCAAGCCTTAGCAAGTCGACCACGCATGCATCCAGAACCCCAAGGTTTCTCTCTGCTACCACAGGCCTTGGGCCCAGACCCCCTCCACTGACCCTTCTTATCCCCAATTCCAGGGGTCCAGCAAGCGTCTCGCCAACCAGATCCCACTCATCATCCAGTACTTTATGCTCCAAGAGAATGGCAGTTGCTTGCAGAAAGCCATGATGCAGATACTGCAGGAGAAGGAGCACTATTCCTGGCTGCTTCAGGAACAGAGTGAGACCACCCAGAAGAGGAGATTCCTCAAGGAGAAGATTTACCGGCTCACGGAGGCACGGCGCGCTCTCTACAAATTCTCCTGTTAAAGCGGGTGGATAGATGGACCGGCAACAGCACTTGGGGGTTTTATCTTAGGCGGGTTCATCATAATGGGAGGTGGTGCAGGGAGTGAGGTCGCCTCTGGGGCCGGCTTTTTCTCTTGCTGTCTGTCCATCTTCGCCAACTGCGCTGGGCACCAGAGTTGAGGTCTGCAGTCTGCACACTTCGAGCTGTCACCCCCGCCTCTGTGAACAGAGGTCTCTCCAGTCCTTGGCCCCGTAGCCTCTAGGCACAGCTTTCTTACTACTGCTATCATCATTCTTTGTTAATTTGTCTCTCTCCACCCATCAGATTATGAGACCCCCCCCCCAGAGGGATTGGTAGTATTATATTCTTTTTTTGGTATTCCAGAATCTTGCATGGCACCTGGCACATAGTAGGCACTCAAGAAATGATACCTCATGGACCATAGGAATGAGAGATTCCTTGAGGCCATGGCTGAAACCAGACTTTGTTGGGGATGGTGTCCCATAGCTGGTCACTTTCAGATGAATTCGGTCATGCCAGCTGCTGTGACCGTGTTCCCCAGCCCCCGGGAGAAACGAGCCTGATCGATACTGAGTTATAGTATTTCTCTAGCTCTGACACGCTCCCATTGTTAAGTCTCTTTTTTTAAATTTATTGGGGTGCCATTGGTTATATGTTAAGTCTTAAAAGGAAATTTAATCATAAAAAATATTGCCCAGCCGCTGTGGCTCCGTGGATTGTGTATTGTCCCACGGACTGAGGGTCCCAGTTCGATTCCCGGTCAGGGCACATGCCCAGGCTGTGGGCTTGATCCCCAGTAGGCAGGTGCAGGAGGCAGCCAGTTGATGCATCTCTCTCACATCAATGTTTCTGTCTCTCTCTCCCTTCCTTTCTTTCTAAAAAAAAAAAAAAAAATCAATAAAATTTTTTTTTAATAATAAAAAATATTTTTTAAAGAAAACTAGAGAGTTTCACACCAGTGGTCATCTCTGGATTGGAGGATTGTGGCTTATTTTCTTTTCTTCCTCACGCTGAGCAATTCCCTATCTTTTAGGAGGGTTAAGTGAAACCATTTCTACAAACGTCCTGTCCCAGAGCATGTGTTCAGCACGCCAGCAGTCTCCCCATCAAGACCGATTTCTCTCCCCGCAGGTCCGCAGAGCCCTGCTCACTCCCGAGCCCTGCGGCTCCTCTACTTAGTTCTTCAGTACTTTTTGAGGTAGTTTTTGTATATGGTGTTAGATAATGGTCCAATTTCACTCTTGAGCATGTGAATATTCAGTTTTTCCAGCTCCAGTTGTTGAAAAAACTGTCCTTTTCTTCATTAGCCTTGGCACCCTTGTCAAAAATAATTTGAGCCCTGGCCGGTTTAGCTCAGCGGTTAGAGCATCGGCCTGTGGACTGAAGAGTCGTGGGTTCGATTTCAGTCAAGGGCACGTACCTCGGTTGTAGTTCGATCCCTGGCCCTGGTCAAGGTTGTGTGGGAACTCCATCTGAAAATCAATGAAAAAATATCCTGGGGTAAGGATTAAAATACATACATACATACATACATATACACATAATTTGACCGTGTGTGCAAAGGTTTATTTCTGGGCTCTCTGCTGTGTTCTGTTGGCCTATATGTCTGTCTGTATACCAGGACCACAGTCTTGATAACTGTAGCTTTATAGTAAGATTTGAAATTAAGAACTTTGAGTCCTTTAGCTCTGTCTGTCCTTTGCAGAACTGTGTTGGCCAGTTGTAATCCCTTAAGATTTTGATGTTGTTTTGTTTCAGTTTTTATCTCTGCAAAAAATGTCATTGGGATTTGATAGGGATTGCATAAATCCACAGATCGCTTTGGGTAGTATTTGCGTCTTAACAATATTGAGCCTGCCATCCCACAACCAAAGGATGTCTTTCCATCTGTTTATGTCTATTTGAATTTCTTTAAACAATGTTGTGTAGTTTTCACTGTACAAGTCTTCCACTTCCTTGGTTAAATTAGTTTGTATTTTATTCCTCTTGATGCTATTGTAAATATAACAGTTTCCTTAATTTTCTTTTTTAGATTATTGATTATACGTTTACAAAAATGCAACTGATTTTTATGTGTTGATTTTGTATCTTGCCACTTTGTTAAATTCATTTATTACAACAGTGTTTCTGCGGAATAATTATGGCTTTCTACATATAAGGTCATGTCATCTGTGAGCAGAGATACTTTTACTGGTTTATCTTACTTAACTGACCAGGCTAGAACTTTCAACATAGAACCATGTTGAATCAACGGGCAAAAGTGGGGATCCTTGTCTGGTAAAGTTATTCTGGTTTTAAAGAACTGGTGTCATATTGAAGCTAAAGATGAAGAGAATTGAAAAGACAAAGCATTAATCTTAGTTTATGTATTCTTCACTTTTTTTAAAATTTGGCTTCTCCCCCATGTTGTAAGAATGAGGTCACATGTACAGAGAGTAGCAGAGCCAAAGAATCCAATCTCTTCCAATTATAAATACTGTCGTGAAAATAGTCTGAGAAAAATAAAGTCTGATGCTTAATATTTGTTCCATAAATTGTATAGTCAGTCTTTCCCTACATGTTCAATGTTACACACACACACACACACAGAGGCTCAACCAAAACTTCTCATTTTCATTTACCCCTCGGGACTGATCCAAAACCCAGGCGTGAGATGCTTGGGCCCTGGTGTATGGGTTTCCAGGGGTTTCTGTAACAAAGGACCACAGATGGGCCAGAAGGCTAGAAGGCTAGAATTGAGGTGCCAGCAGGGTTGGTTCCTTCCGGAGCTCTGAGGGAGAATCTGTCCCAGGCTGTCCCAGCTCCTGGTGGCTCCAGAGTCCTTGGCTTCCTTGGCGTCCGGTGACTACGTCTATCTTCACATGCTGTTCTCTGTCTCCTTAAAGCAAATGTCCCTTTCTTTCTCCGGTCATTGGACTAAGAGCTCACCCTAAACCAGGATGATCTCAACTTAATGACATCTGCAAAGACACTACTTCTAAATAAGGTCAAATTTATAATTTCCAGGGATTTGGACTTGGACATATCCTTTAGGGAGACACAATTAACCAGGTCAGATCATGGAGCTGGGTGGATGGCCCATGTTTTCATTAGAACAAGCTAACTGCTGCAAAGAACACTTTAAGATTTCTGCGGCTTTAAGTTCCCCACTCACATCCTGGCAGTGTAAGGTGGGTTGGCAGGGTCCTGAGCCACTCAGGCACCAGCCTCCATCCATCCAGTGGCCCCCACATCAAGCCTCCACCAGACTGTCTGTATCAGGGAAGAGAGTGTAGAGGATTGCAAGGGAGGTTTCCAGGAGCCAGGCCTGTGAGCAGGGTACATCACTTCCACATTCTATGGGTGGAACTGAGGCCTATGGCCACCCTTAACTGCAAGGCAGGCTGGGAAATGTAGTCCAGCTAGCCAGACAGGAGAAAGAGGAAACAAGATTTGGACATTGCCACACCTGTCCCTCTAACACAGATGTATTTCCTGCTCTTCCATCTTATCCCAGGCTTGATAATGTCTGCGCGCGCGCACACACACACACACACACACACACACACACACACAGCTGTTTACTCCTCCAGTGTTACTGGGGAACAGGTTTTGTTCCTAACAAGCATGGAAATAAAGGAAGACCACCCAGATGTGAACAAGCAAAGCCATCTATTCACAGCTGACTAGCAAGGGGTCACCCCCATCACTTGAGTTCAGCAGAGACTCAGGTGGGAGGGGACTGGGGCAACTCCACAGTGGAAGAAGGGCAGCTCCAGGTGTGCCTGGTGGGGCTGTGGGCTGGTGAAGCTGGGGGTGGTAGGGGGGAGGGTACCTAGGGGGAGGGTGTCCTGTGTGATTGGTTAGGGTGCCTATTTGGCTTTCTCTAGTTGGTCCTAAGTTGAAAGCAGGGACAAAAATTAGACAAGCTATCAATTATTAATCAAGTCCTGCATATTTGGGGCCCATTGTTACGGGGGTTATCATCTGGATTCCTGAACTGGTCGCTAGAGATAGCAGCCTGACTGCCTACAGGGCTGGCTTACAGCAGCGGGCTCCCTGGGCTGGTGACTGAGATAAAGGGTCGGTTTCCTGGGCAGGTCGCTGCAGGCTCGGAAGTCTGTTTCTGTATATGGTTTGGCCATGTGTATATTCAGTTGCTCACAGCTGACTTCACCCTGTGGGAACTTGCTCTCTCCTCTGTCCCGGACACTGCTGTGACCAAATGTCAGGCCATGTGCTTGTGCGTGTGATCCGTGCCCTGCCCCACCTTGGGATTTAGGCTACCCTGAAATTTCTCACAGGGGTGGAAGTTGCCCTTCTGCAGTGGGGTTTGGGAGGAAGGTGTGTCTTCTTCAACCAGTGGTCTAGAGATACAATGGGAGAGTATCCATGAAAGAGTAGCAACAGATGGAATAAACACATTTGAGTTTCCTATCCTGTCCCTGTCCCTTGAGACCCTAACGTGCTCCTTTTGGCATGCTGTACTGGTGACTTGTTGTCACGTAACAAACTACCCCAAATTTTACCCCTGAAATGTCTTAGCTCACACTTCCTGGCTGAGGAATTCACATGCGCGCCTCCCACGACGCTGCGGCCCAGCTTCTCTTAGCTTGAGGCTCCACGGATAGCCCCCAAAACAGCCAGGCCCCTTTCCCCGCAATCTGTGAATGTTACCTTATATGGAGAGTCAATTTTTGCAGATCTGACTAAATTAAAATCTTGAAATGAGGAGATGATGCTGGATTATCCAGACGGGCTCTGAATGGAATCCCGTGTTCCCAGAAGAGGACGCCAGAGGGGCTCTGACTGGAGAGCAGACGTCGGTGTACAGATGGAACAGAGGGGGAGACTGGAGATGCTAAGCTGCTGGCCCTGACGATGGAAAAAGAGGCCACAAGCCAAGAAATGTAGGAAAAGCAGCTCCAGAAGCTGGAAAAGGCAAGGCATCGTGCATACGGCCCAGAGAGAGTGCAGACTTGTCCACACCACGTCTTTCGCCCAGTGAAACTGATCTTGAACTTCTGGCCTCCGGAACCGTAAGAGGATAAGTGTCACCTGTGGAAAGCCAACGAGTTTGTGTTGATTTGTTACAGCGGCGACAGGAAGCTACAAGCTCACTGGCCTGCCTGGCTGTCGACAGGCTTCAGGCCCTCGGTGGCTGTTGAACAAAGACATCAGTTCTTTATCATCACGTCACATCTTGGGACTTTGCCACAACATTGCAGCCCCGCTGGAAGGTCTATTGAATTATCAGGATGGCATTTTGTAAATAAAATTGATTTCGTTTCATTTTTCTTAAAGCTGCCCAAGTGATTGTGACGACAGGCAGGTGTGGGAATGACTTGAATGCAAACGACGTTGGCTCCTATAGTGACGCATGGCACACAGCAGACACTTGGGAAATCATTTTTGGAGCAATGAGTTTTGGCTGGCAGGTAATGGCAACCACCTTCAAGTGTGAAAAGGACTGTGAAGATTAATGAACAGAAACCCCTTTAAATTGCAGTTGGGAGGGGCTGTAGGGGGAGTTCTGATGCTCTACTCCTCATGGTCAATTACCCCAAACAGGAAAAGATGGTGCTTCGCATCTCCAATAGGAAGATGTTTCCCACTCCACCCTGAGAAAGGAGGATCTGCTTGCCTGGCAACCACTGAGCCAATGAAAAGCCACTACACTTCAGACGAACTCCCAGCTTCCTCCAATGGACTCGGTTTACAACAGTCCCTCTGAACACCTTCCCTTTTCTCTATAAAAGAATGTTCCTCTCCTTTCTTTTCTGGACT